AATAATCGTGTTTTGATCAAAGTGTAATCGGGAATTTCAGTATAACATGGGCGCCAGTTAACAGTTATGTTCTTTCGTGCCACTTGACGAAACAAAGAAGTGTAGTTAAGAATGAAATTTATTTTTAAAGCCACGGACACTTGAAAATATTTGGTCACTGATATTTATCTTTAGCTAACAGAGAGCCATTTAGTCAACTTAGTCCAAAGAAAAACTAGGATACTCACCGAATCTTGTCCAGGGATTCAATTGAGTGTATATCCTATTAGAACCTGATGAACATTATTGAACTGAAGAATAAGTGGTACCTTTTCCTCAGTGTTAAATAAGGTATTATCTGGTGTCCCTTCGTACTATCCCATTCATTTATTTAGCGAGTGCCTCAAACTAGAGTATGATTCCATTAAATTCGATGATCTAAAGCTATTTTTACATATATCTTTGGAGGACATGCTTCTCTAACCCAGCTTAAATTTCCAGATGGAAAAATCGAGTTCAGTAAGCGCATGAAATTACAGTCTCGTATGTATTATCCACGAGAAAATGCTCGAAACTTCTCAACACTCCTTGGCGAAGTCAACAATGAGACAGGTGTGCGGTAAATTTGCGGATACTCATACAATTTCGTATATGGCTCTTTCAGATCCTAACAATAAGCTTTAAACTCACTGAATATCTTTATCCGTTAAAGGGAGGAAGTTGAGTACGGGCCCACACGATTACATTGCAGGAAGATGTGAACCCAATCAGCCGAAAACGAATAAAATCTTTTACTGATGGTCTTAAAAACTACTAAATTAAATACTGGCCAGAATCAAACGGAAAAATGTTCATGTCGTGATCAAACTATTTTTCAGCTGCATCCTAGGAAATTTATTTGAACCTTAAAGTTGGTTTATTCACAACGTTTCTTAAAATTGACCCCACGATAATTGTAAACGATCGATACTGAAGTATGGACACTATGTACATATGATCAGAAATTTGTGGCAAAACTAATTGGTTGGTCAACAAACTGACAGTAGCAACACAAATAATTGACAGTAATCGACAACCAAATCAAAAATAATTGTCATTAATTGATACTCACACAGGAATTCTGAAGTATAGGTAGGTAATTATGGTTTAACCACCCTGTTTAGTGTATATCCGTACTGCTTTCGTATTCTGTTACAGTGAAAATACAAGCATCGAAGGCGAGCCAGTATCCAAGCACAAATTAAACTCATCGTATGCACATAAGCTAACGGTTGCCTCATATGATGAAAGAAACAACTTTTTTAAATACGTCTCTTCGCAGTCAACACTCTTCAGTTTCTTTACCTAATTGGAAAAGCTCTAGAGAGGTGAATTTACATAAATTTATAACAAACCTGATACTAACTGAAGAAAGAATTAAGATAAGCGGTTCAGGGTTGGCCCGACGAAATACCAAATCGTTATATTTTAATATCCCATATCTCCATGGATCGCTTAAATCTTAACAATGAATTCAAAGATGCTACAGATATTTGGAGTTTGAAAACGCTTTTACATGTAACACCTTGATAATTGAAGGATACCAACCCAGTCACATTAGAAGACGGAAATGAAGAGGTTCGAAGTTATATTCGAAATGCTATCAATAGGTCGAAGTGTTGGTTATACCAATAACCAACTAATGAAATCGATGCTTGGGCTCCCACCACGTTTATCTAGTCTGATGTGTTGTAGACTACCCCTATTGCATGTGACCCACCAACTGATGAACATTATTATCCTATTATGTTAGCGCGACTCATAATTTTTATTCATTCCGATAAGACACGCAATACTGTTCGATATGTTCGTGTGCTTTATTTAATGACTACGATTCCTTAAATTATTGTATTAATCTAATTGTTTCCACGTTTAGAAACAGATAAACTTTAATGCCAAGTTGTTCTTGTTCTGACTATAGCTTTCACATAGACTCTATGCTAGCCGGTATCGCGTTAACGGTTCTAGTAGTATATCTGTAAAACAAATTAAATCCTAAAAAGTTTGAACCAGTAATTTCATTAAAAATCCATGCATTGAGTACCTTTAAATATCTACGGAGATTCATAAAACTGACCAGATTCCTGAATTGTCTCTCTACTATACAGAAACATGGTGATGTCCAGTTTGGGGGGAGAAGCTGTTGAATGGATCTCTTGTTAGAGTTAGAATTAGCTAAAGTGTGTTTAGCTCAGATAAAAAGTGAAATTGCGTTAGAATGATCACATCAAAAGGGAAGAGAATATCATAATCAAATTGTTGATGACAATGTTATGTCGTACAGGTTTACATCTGTCTCGCATGCAGTTGATGTTCCTCCTGGAAAAAGTGGATAGCAACGATATATAAGGATTTAGACCCATCAAAGACAAAGATCATAAAGTTTGATGGGAAACCCCATGAACTATTGGAGTTTCATACAGAATTTCAAAAACTGCTTCGACGGTGTTGTAAGTAGATCTGGGTTAAATTATATGATTCAGTTTTGTGATGGTGAACATAAGGCTACTATTGTGCCGGGAACCACCCAGACTAATGTAAAGAATTTAAAGGTAAGAATGTTAAATGAAAGAATAGAATTTGTATCAAAGAAGTTGTATAATGTCTGTCTGAAGGCAAACCACATGGCAAGGAACCGTCGAGCACCATGGTCATGTGCCGTCGAGGGATGTGGCTAGATACACCATACCTTGTTACACAAGAAGCGGAAGAGCATAGAGATAGTAATAGCAATGTCCACAATAATACTCAACTTTGTACGGGAGGAAAGTGCTAAGCGTGTACAGAGACAAGTAGCACATTCAATAGTGTCTGTATTGGTAAAAAATGGAAAAAGAAAGGTACAGACTTGTGTTTTCTTAGACGGTGCCTCAGATGCTTCGCTTATTACAGAATATCTAATTAGAAGGTTAGGTTAAGAGGGAGAGTCCAAGACGCTTTTAATGAAAACACTGGATAGCCAGTCCACATTTGATTTCAAAGAGGTTGAATTAGAAGTTTTTCTCTGAGATTCTTCCTCATCACTTAGAATGCCAAAGGTGTGTACAGTCGAGATATTAACTATGTTACGTAGAGCGGTAAAAATGACATCTTAAATGACATTGTGGTTTCACATATGTTTTGTGACCCTTCCAAGAGTTAACAATGAAGACGTCAAAGTACTGACAAGGTGCAATCTACATGAAGCACATGAGATAAAAAAGAAAAGAGTGGGAAAATCTATCGAACTATAAGCCATAAAAGCTCCTTAGGTATGGACGTTGTTTTGACCTAAATATTCTATCGTCTAAAAATGAACTACAAGCTAGATTAGAACAGTTATATAAGATGGACTTTGAAGACGACCCGAGTCACCGTGAGCCCATGTCGGTTGAAGATCGTAAAGTCTTGGATGCTATGGCCAAATCTATATAGTTAGTGAACAGGCATTAATAAATATCTTTGCACTGGAGTCACTAACAAAGCCTACATAATAAAAGAAAACAAGCGATCATTATATAAAATTCCTGAAGAAACAGGCTCATCTGCAAACAGAGCTTGCGTGAGGAACATGTTAATGTGGTGGCAATGTATGTTAGATGGCGCGACACCGAGAAGTCTACAGAGAACTCTATTTGGTGTCGGAATCGCATAGCAGAACCAGGCTTCGATATTGTCGGGCCATGATTGCATCAGCTGAAATGTGGAAGACGAAAGAATTTTAATCTCAAATAACTTAATAGTCTGTTCCGTCATGATAAATACAAGCACAACAATGCGTGAGAAAAGATATCTGAAAATATGAAAACAATATCACAATATGTGAAAATAAAAATTACTAAATGATATACAATGTTCCAACAGGGAACAGATACACAGTCCACTATTTGGTGTGCCAGATAACGACGAGCTCACTACTGAAGACGTCATAAGAATTCGGAGTTTGAAAACGCCTTTACGCTGAAGATGCCACAGGTATTTGTAGTTTGACAACGCTTTAACCAGTAACACCTAGTATGAGTCGTACTCACCAATTGAAATAAAAAGACAGAAGCAAGGAGGTTTGAAGATATATATGATAGGTTATCAATATATCGAGGATCGACTGATCTAGACTGGCTAGCGATTGCAGGGGATGTTGAGCACGGTGTTCCCACTCGTGATCTGGTGCGGATGCATGACCGAGCGCCTTCGGCTAGGTGAGTCCACTAAATAAATGTGATCAGTATCCAGTGTAGAAGACTTTCAGAGCTATTTATTTCGGGGATTTATTTACTACTAAAACACCTAACAACTTCATAATTGAGGGATACCAACCCAGTCAAATCCAAAGAGAAAAATGAAGGGTTCGAGGTTATGCCTGGAAAGCTATCAATATATCGAGAAGCAGTTGGTCTAAACTGTCTGACATTTGTGAGAGAACTATTTATTTTGGGGCTTCATTTACAGCAACACTATCAAAGCCTAGCGAACGACTGGCTGAGAAGATCCATTAACGAAAACAATCTTCCATGAGTAATATTATTGATACATTAAAGATATGCCATAGGTATTAGGCGCCCAATCAATACCAGACAGTTTGACAGATTCTTGGTATCATCAGCCTTAGTTTAATTTATTGATATAAAACTGCAGGGACCTATCATTTGTAAAAGGCGTATATTATAAAACGTTCTGATGTTACTTCAGCAATAAACATAAGACAACAAAATTCAACTTCAGAATTAAAATACTCAAACCACTGTCTTTTCCCGTAGTTGTAACATTTTCCCTGCTTTTTCAGTGATCATCGCCTCGCGTTATACCGCGTTACAAGTTACTAATTATTTTCTTTGTATCATTAAATATACGTAGGTTCTTACATGGAGGTATCGGTGATCCACTGCTACTATATACGGCAGCTCATTAGGCGAAAGCTTTTTCTATTTCGTTCAGGACCATTTGAACTATTTGAAAAAACACTTAAAGGCGCCGAACGACAACATTGTGACCTTCATTTAGCCGTAACGAATGGGAAACTGGCCGGTGGGTTGTTTTGGTGTATTTTATGCTCATTTTCACTTTGATTAGACTTTTATCATTTGAAATATTAGCATCCATGTCTGTAATAATCTATCACGTACATGTAGAGGTAGAAGCAACACATTCACTCAGACTTCATGCATATATATATTTGTATACAATTCTCCGTGCTAGAATATCCTTACGTTCGTGTAATAACTTACTTAAAAAGTGCTCAAACCCTGATATTTTTCATCTTTTTAATATGAGTGCATGCCTCTCTTCGCTTTTCACTTGTATCTACAGTTTTTATGAATGGATAAACCCACACTAAATGTAGTTTTTGCAGTCTTCGTGAAGATTTGAAAAGCACTTTGCAATGAGTAAGGCAAGTGGCAAAACGTTGGGATAGCACGCCAATAGTTTCTGTGTTAGCATATCATTATCCCATGCCTTTCACCTCCATGCGGTGATTTAACATGATCCTGAACTGGCATAACAGTGGTTGTAAACAAGATTTCTGTTTCACTTGGGGCACTTTTGTGCTTGAAGGGCATTTAATCTTGTTGGCATAGCTTGGCTACCTGGGCTGAGGTATATTTGTATCAGGCTCTACGTTGATTATGATCGCCTGAGTCTCTTTAATAACTCTATCATTTCAACAGGTGGATATGTATTTTATCATATGAACTTGCTACCTAAGGGCTGTCATAAAGTTAATAGGTGTAGGAAGATGTAAAACAATATGAGTGTTCTGTATTCTCAATAGATCACTGGATTATTTCTATAACTACCCAACTTTTAAATTTATTCGAAACCCACTGGTTAATCCCAAGCTTTGTTTTTAGTCGACTTCTGAAACTGCTGAAGTCCTGTCTTTTGGAAACCCCACTGATAGATATACACATAGTATGGGATGGTGGAGATTTGTAGCTCAGGTCGATGGAGTTTTATTCTCTGAGCTGGATGGCTTGGTCGTGGAGCTTTCACCGTTCTTCTGAAAATGACATCATCAGCACAAACTTCAGGTAGTTTTGTTGTCGTTCAGAAGGACGATGAGAGCTCCACGACCAAACCATCCAGCTCAGGGAACAAAACTCCATCACATATAGTATGGGTCTTACTCATGATTCTTAAGACGCAAAGCTTGGCTGTGGCCAGATTTTAACTACCATTAATAAGACGGTGCGTAGCACTTGGCTGTTATTTATGTCTAGACTTACAGTAAGTTCGCTGCACTAACGGTCTGTTTCAGATTTAGTGCTGCAATTATAACTCAGTAGACATCGATTTGGATCGCAAACAATCAGATAAAAACCCTAATTTCGTCCCAGTCATATGCACTAACGTCCAACATCTCTACTTCTACCGTGAGCTGTATCCATATATCATTGCCACTATATTTCTCACCAGCTTATCATGGGTGGATAGTTTTCTTGGTGTGTTCGTTTGACAAGATTTATCCTCCCGATGTCTTTTATTTTCCAAAAGGTTATATAGCATAAATAATCAAAAATAACGCTAAGTACAGCATATGTGTTTTCTGTTCAAAATAGTGTACATTAACAGTAAAATATGTTGTCGTTCGTAAGTTTCTGATATGAAATTCCAACCCACTGTTTTAGGACCGAATTCTCACTAGGGGGACGAGTTTGGTTGATTTCCCGCTCTGTTCAAAGTAACGAATGTGTATCTTTGCATTAAAAACGGATATTCATAATACATAAAGTGATATTGCACTCAAAGACTCCTAAAATTCTCGCTTTCTTTAGTCTTAATACCTGGTCATCTGAGTGAGAATGTCTACAAAGGCTAGACGCCGTCTTATGAACGATTTCAAGAAAATTCAACTTGATCCTCCTCCTGGTGTATACGCTGTTCCACTTGATGACAACATAATGAAATGGCATGCAATTATTTTGGGGCCGGATGGCACAGCATTCGCAGACGGTATATTTCGGCTAACAATGGAGTTCACCGAGAACTATCCTAACGTCCCACCGATTGTGCGATTCGTTTCCAAAATGTTTCATCCTAATGTATATAGTGATGGTAGTATATGTTTGGATATATTGCAAAACATGTGGTCTCCGTCATATAACATTGGAGCAATATTAACATCATTACAATCACTTTTGGGGGACCCGAACCCCAACTCTCCTGCAAATACGACAGCAGCAGAATTATTTGAAGAAGACAAACGCCAGTATGAAACACAAGTCCGAGCCATTGTTGAGGAGTCGTGGCGAAACGATGAACCTGTTGATTGACTTCGTACTGTATTTGAGCACTTGATTTATGTACTTGTAAATAATATTAATTTCTGAAGTGTACCAGTTCTTGTAACATAATGTATGAATAACATATTATCTAAGACGTAGTTTGCATACACTGCTATTTTTAATATGGGAATTTATGAAATTACGTTTGGTTATTTCTCAAATATGACGACGGCCTGAGATCATTGCTTAGCTTTACGTAATTACTAACTGAAATATGAGAGCAAGCACTAGTTCTGTTCAGCAGTCTTCGATTATTAATTCTCGTGTGATAATAACAGAAAAATCAGTCCAACTTGCATAGTTTAAAAAATAACATCTCCTAGAATCAGACGATGTCTTAACAAAGCACAGAATTCTGAGTTTGGACTTCCCAAAATGTTAATTGAATCTAGCCATTTGAACCACGAGTTAAGAACGGAATTTGTTCGTATATGACTTTGAAATAAAACCCTACAGATCTTGTTGGTAAATTATATATATATGGCATGAAACAAATTTACCTGTCATCCATTAGTTCTACAGATTTAATCATTATGGTTAAGTATCATCATCAGCGTAAGATCTAGTCAGTACATGCATCGAGTCACTCGGTCATATTTCTCCAGCACACGAGGAAGTCGAATTAATGGTAGTATTTATTTATTATTTATAATAACACATAGATATTGGTACAAAGAGGCACCAAATACATATGCGCCACACAAATCCCATTTGATTTGTGAGGGCTGTGATACTGCACAGGTGCCTAAACCGAAGCAGGTGGTTTTCTTAGGGGGCCACACCCGAAGCCTTCGACCTGAAGGTCTGATCCACAAGGTAGTGGAGCATCGTCAGGAGATCCAGTCCCATGGTAGCCGGTGACCAACAATTGGTTCATACACCATTTGTTCCCTCAGGATACTGGAACCCATGTGCACCATTGGTTTGGAATCCGGTTAAAGCGCCGGACATTCGCTTCTCGTTCTCTCATTCCCGTAAAGAACACCCCCCGCCACGAAAAGACAGTGAGTAGGACTTCCCTGGCAGAGGCTATATACGCGTGGCCATGTGAGAGCATTCACAGAGGGAGAGTCACTAAATTCTAGTCTGAGTCATGTTGGTGGATGCAGACTACTTGGTTGGGCTCCGCGTGACTATCGTAACCAATGGTTGGAGACTCTTGGTGACATGGCTTAGAATCGATCACAATGGCGTCGGTGTATACACTCTCTATCTTCCCTTAAACTAAGAGATTAAAATCGCTTTATATCTTTCTTTCTTCCTGTACTATATTATTTATTTATTTCAACACATAGATAATGGTACAAAGAGGCACCAAATACATATGTGCCACACAAATCTCATCCTGTACTATATCCTCATATACAATCCTTCCTTTATATATTACCACCTCTGAATTAACTACTTTTATGAATCCGGTGTCCATGTTGTTGTGTTATGAGGTATGGCAACTTGGACCGATGCATATATGTGCCTGGTCCTACGTTGTAGCTGACTGACTGACCACTAAGCAACAATGCAAACATGTTCGGGATGCGATTCTCCCCCTCGAAATGCAAAATGTTGCTTCCGGATTGGGTTGCATTGACACCCGAACTAATGATAGGGAGTGAAGTAATTGAGCGTGTCGACCACTTCACTTGTCTTGGAAATCTCATCAGCCCTTGTTGTCTGGTGTGTGACGAAATCTCAGCACGGATACAGAAGGCTCGAATAGCTTTTACCAACTTGCGTCATTTATGGCGTAGGCGAGATATCCGCCTATCAACCAATGGACGTGTTTACTGTGCAGCAGTTCGTCCCGTCCTACTTTATGGCAGTGAAACATGGCCGGTAAGAGTAGAGGATATCCGTAGGTTACTAGTATTTGATCATAGGTGTCTTCGAAATATTGCTCGTATATCCTGAGACCATCGAGTAAGTAACACAGTTGTTAGGAAACGGGTACTAGGTAAGGATGGCAAATCAATTGATGACGTAGTGAAACTTCATCAGTTGAGATGGCTGGGGCGTGTTACGTATGCCCAACCACCGACTGCCTCGATGTGCGATGTTTTGTTGTATAGGAGTAGATTGGAAGACAGCTAGGGGCGGCCAGACCAAAACATGGCACAAGTCCATGAAGTCACTGACAAGTAGACTGAGTAATATTGGTAGGTGTAGACTACCTGGTTGGGGACCGCGAGATGATAGCAACCGATGATTAGAGAGCCTGAATGACATGACTCAAAATCGTTTGCAATGGCGCAGGTGCATACACTCTTTGTGTTCTCCCAAATTTTGATCTCCTTATTCCTCCTTGTCTCTTTTTTCTCTTCCCAAATTTATTTCACTGTATTATACTCTTTAAGTAACATCTCCAAACACTAATCTTCCCGATTACTGCTTATACTCTTATTACCTGTACCACTACGGGATTTGAATCGACAACTGCATCTCTGTGCTAATGTGGTGTGACAACTCGAACTGATGTACGTACGTACGAAGTTCTACGTTGTTACTGACTGACAAGTGCTAGACACAGTGCTTCTACATTTCAGACATTCGACTTCCGCATATTCCGTCGTAGGAACAGCGATGTTGCAGATATGCTATAATACTTACACGCTTCAGGTTTACGTAGGTTTTGATCAGTCAGCTAAAACGTAGGATCAAGCACATATATGCATCGGTCCCAGTTGTCATACCTCATTGGCACAACAAGATGAACACCGAATCTATAGAATTAATTCAATGGTAGTAATATATAAAAGAAAGATTGCATATAATGATATAGTACAGGAAGAAAGAATTAGTTGGTAGAAAGAAGGATATAACTACTAATACACGTACGACTGACAATCAGATATATTTTAGAGATTTAAGAGTGAGGGGATATAACACTATTAAATCATAGTTATCCTCTAATAAATATTCGCGAATAAACGGATGTTCGGAATCCCCATACTTATGTCACTTCCACCCAACTCATTTGTTAAAAAATGAAATTGTTCAGCTGAGTTGAGATAGATTCGATAAGAGCATGCAAGCTTAACACTAACGTGATCCTGAGAGATTAAACCATGTTTGAACTGGTTGGGTTGGTACAATGTTTACCTCTAGTTAACGGCTGTGCACACTAAGAAGCGTTTTTTTAAACTCAGAAACTAATTTCACAGATCAGTCATTCTGACACCCAATTGCTCGAGTGAGGGATTATCATTTCACTGCAACACCCATATGTTCAGTAAACTTTTTAGTTTACCGTTCATTTGTCATCACAAAAATTTCAAAACGACTCCAAAGCGGCACCTCGAGCTGAAGTAGCTCAGGTCGGTTAACGAGAAATGTATCTATAATACACAAGTTGGAAAATGATCAATCAGGTTAAGTATCATTTCTGACTTTAAAATGCTCAATACGATATAACTGTCCTAACTAGATATTATTACTATATTCGAGTGACATAATAACTTGGTGGTGTTTGGAACTTCTCCCAACCTTTTAACCTAAAGTGTATATGGTGTAGTTCTACTTAAATACTAATCTTGATTTTTACTCAGTTTTCTGTTCGACATTTCTACCAGTTACGTTCTTTGACGTAAATGATTAAGGACGAAATTTCCAACAATTTTTTTGCCAATCGTATAGTCTCAAATAAAGTGGAGGCAGTTTTCATTTTTAACATCCTTAAATCAATTTTCCTGTCATCGTACGATTAAGAAGTATTTCTAGGAGTAACTGTCCGATTCGGTCATTCTAACTACTATATTAAAGATTAAGTTGTCGGTTGGCGACAAACCTTAGGCTTAGGAAATAATTGATAATACTCTTTTGATTGGTGTTAGCTACGTTGATAACAAAACGATTATATAGACTGACATATATAAGCGAACAATATTGTTTTCAATTAGATCCTCATAAGGCTTTACCCCAGTATACAGTAATGTTCATATGCATATACGAAATTATTAAACCAATCAAGACGGTTTATGAGTGGAATAGACTGCATAAATAAACATAATAAGTAAAGAGTATAAATTGGTAGTGTGATGACAGGTTACTAGTTGTGATAAGAATAACAAACTCTTAAATTCATGTTTCATAATGGGAAATAGGTCAATGGCTTGAAAAAATAAAAATACTGAAATAACATTCATAAGTACTAAGACTACGTAATGAGAACTGTTTAGATAATTGAACGACGAAGCGTGCATTTGGAAAAAAAAGTGGAAGGAGGTGTAGAAAAATAAACGAGTATGGGAAGTAATAATAAATAAGTCTTATTAGGGCTAATTTGGTGTCAAGGGAGAGATAAAGATGTTACAAATTTTTTTATGAATACTATGACTTGGATTTCTATAGCTACTGCTACATGTAAGAGACAAGATCAAACTACATAAGGAAAACTAGTAGGAATGCGATAACTTTGAATGACCTATTTCTGTTTACTACATGACCACTATCCATGAAGTATGAGAGAACAGAGCTGTGTACAATACGCAAACTTACAGTTCTTATGAATGTTATTTTAACATTTTTATTTTTTCAAGCCATTGACCTATTTCCCATTATGAAACATGAATTTAAGAGTTTGTTAACCTGTCATCACACTACCAATTTATACTCTTTACTTATTATGTTTATTTATGCAGTCTATTCCACTCATAAACCGTCTTGATTGGTTTAATAATTTCGTATATGCATATGAACATTACTGTATACTGGGGTAAAGCCTTATGAGGATCTAATTGAAAACAATATTGTTCGCTTATATATGTTGGTCTAATTCACAATATGAGAATTTTTAAGATTATATAGACCACCACTAAGTCAGGTAATGTCAAATAATGCAAAACCATATAAAATCGAAAGATATTTTGATATGATACAATGATGAGAAACTAATAAACTCAGAATTAAAGTAATCAGGATTTATCAGATGGGGCTTTGACTTATTAACATTCGAGTTAGCGAGAAAGTAGTTGGCGGTCAAAAGTATATGGGAAGAATCACAGTTCATTAACTTTAGAGGACTGTTAAACGGCGGAATGTTACTTCATGAATTAGGTGGATCTTTGCTGACGGGAACGATACAGCTGACGCGCATGGTTTAAAAGAGCTTCACGACGTTCAGTAAGGCTCAATTGACGTGAACTAGAGTTTGGTAGAAACTGTGGAGCAGCAACTGTGAACCTGCTGGGAGACATAGCAGATATAGTGGGATCGACCTGATTACTGTTTCGTTGAGCATCCGAGTCATGTGGATTTTCCAAAAGGTAATCAATAGCTGATTCAACGTCACCTTGAGTATTCACTAAACAAAAATGTATCAACTGCGGATATAATATTTACATTGGGTTAAAAAAACGTGATATTTTTAAGGTAGAAACAAAAAACCACATACAAAATGAAGGTTACGTACATTGACTTCCCATTTTTATCATACAAAAATATTGAACCAACTTAAAATCCATTGACATGACAGATTTTCCTCTACATTAGAATAAGTCGTTCAGCAATAAAAAGGTGTAGATTACGTTAAGTCAAGATAAACTATCATATGTTCCTACTTTAACATCAGTATGATTTTACTTTCGTAACAAAAACATGAATCACCAGCTACATATAATGAAATACGTTCAGTAAGTATTTTATTCGTCAGGACATGATAATCAGTACTGTGGTTGGTTTCCCTAGTATTCCTCAGCATAATTTTGTTAGTGCTAAATAGTTTTGAATACGACTGACTAAAACTCCCTCAAAAACCTACGAGACTGTAACAATTATGACAATATCTGGCACTTACAATATTTGCGTAATAGCCTTAAAACCTCGATATGATCTTTTTCGATAGGCTTTTAAAATTCTGAGATTGACAGTGAAACCTTAGTATCTAAGCTACGATATATCCAAAGAGCCTATACACTTTCCTTGTCCCAAAGTTGACTCAATTTCGCAGTAGAAATGAATTAATTCTGCGTGCCTAAGTGGAGAATGCAATATACTGAGTTCAAATACTTATCCACAGGTAACCACACTTGAGAAGTAAATTTCAGGCCATTGTCCAATAATTTGGTATGTTGTGTAAAGAACAGATTGTTACTGGGTCTCAGTGAGGACGTATCTGATTTTCATATCGGACACTGCTAACAGTTATCTTACAAGCATCTCAAAGAAATACTACTAGTGTTTAACTATACCAAAACGAGTGTCAAACCGTGTACGTATGGATAGTTGCTTTACACATCAAAAGCCTAAAAATTAGATTACAAGCAGAAATCTAGTTCTTACCTAACTAAGAGCAGTGTTACACTAGATATAAAACCTTACCAAGAGCTTCACGGATTCGAAACGCCGGTATGTCACGGAGTATTTCACTGATTCGAGGTACCAGATGTTCGAAAGTGAAGGATGAGTAGGTCTCGGAGGCTTCATGACTAGGCCGAATACAGTGGCGAAGACGAACTCCATCAGACTCGAGTATGTTTGAAATTAAAGAATCACTTGATGAACTCGTAGAATGCTTTCTAGACGGAGGGGAACTGGGTGGCGTTGCAGATAAACTAGACGTCGTACAAGATCGCGCATTATGGATAGAAAGCGAAGCAATGGGTGATTCCGCTCCAGTGTACTAGAAGTAAAAAGTAATTTAGGGGAGAACTATCTCATAGGAAAATGATTTGATAAAAATAATTGTATCCGGAAAGAGATTTCGGACCAAAACCAATATGATAATTTAGGTTAACCAATTAGGCTACACAATTTGGAAAGCCGCGTAATATATTCTGGAATGTCAACAAGTCTTGCGATTTGGTTAAGATAATTTTTCAAAAACATAACTTAGTTGTTTGTACCAAATTACACTATGTATTTCGGATCATTTTTCAACTGTTTAATTATTTTAAACACGACTCGGAGATGGTGCATCACGGGCTCGAATATATTTTTGTGTAATGAGATTTAAGAAACTAAGTTTATGAAACTGTTAGTTTATATATATAAAGGAAAAAAATGTGATGAAAACTTAAAAAACATACTTATCATTATTCTATTGATGTTTTTGTCCAAAGTTCAACAAGCTGTAGGACAGAACATGCTTTTTAATTTTATTGAGGTGCTGGAAATGATCTCCAAGTATAAGCTACGTCAGCTAAGTATTTTAGTAGAAAGCATCTATTTAGGGACACTCTTAGCATTCAACGATAAATCACTAGACTTACGGAACATATACACGTTCATATACTGTTATGGAATCACCCTTGTTGTTTGAGGATCACTGACATCTGACTACCAAAACATTATAACTATCACATACAACTTATTCGTTGTAATAGTTGAGATCATGAGTCAATTGAAGCTAGACCACCGTGGAAAACCTAGAAGCACTGGACGGCCGTTTCGTCCAAGTATGGGACTCCTCAGCAGTGCACATCCACGACCCGCCTCACGGGATTCGGACCCAGGACCTATCAGTCTCGTGCCCAAATGCCCTGGTATGGCCGAGAGCGGGATGGGTTCGCCCTCCCTCTCGAAATACTCTCACACGGCCACACGTATACAGCCTCTGCCAGGGAAGTCCTACTTACTATCTTCTCGTGGCAGGGAATGCATCTCCTGACGATGCTCCACTACCTTGTGGGTTAGACCACTAGATCAAAGGTTCGGGGTGTGGCCCCCTAAGATTACCACCTGCTTCGATTTGGGCACCCGGGCAGTATCGCAGCCCGCACACAATTAATAAACTGAACTGTCTATGATTATGGAAACTAATTCTCTTGCTTCGACGAACATTCAAGTGATTCAATTATTATTACTTACTTACTACGTCATTATTCACTCTCCTTTATTCCCACTCTGTTTATACTTATTTTTTCGACTTATACAGCAGCTTGTCTATGGTGGAAATTAGACTGTATCTATGCGTTCTGGAGTCACTGTTCAGTTAAAAATTGTATGTTACCACCGAATACGAGTACTGAAGCAGTTTTTCTGAAACCACGTGCACCATTCAAACTGGCTGCCTTCAACGTTCGCACATTTATGCAGGTCGGACAACAGATAGGGCTGGCTACGTCTTTGGAAAGTCTTAATATTGATGTTTGCTGTCTATCCGAGACCCGTATTCAAGACTCTGGTGAAGTACTACAAATTCGCTCTCCATCTGTCGCTTCAAAAAGCTTGTTTTACGTGCGCTTATCCGGGGACCCTGTGGCATCTTCGTCTGGTCTTGTTAGCGTTGGTATCGCACTAAGCGCTAGAGCTGAGGCAGCACTAATCGATTGGGTTCCCATTAACAGTCGGTTATGTGTTGTTAGATTAGAGTTCCATCAAAGTGAGAAGAAATCGGCGTGAGAAACGACGTCTTTTCGTCATCTCCGCCTATGCCCCGACAGATTGCAGCCCAGATGCAATCAAGGATGAGTTTTACAACCAGTTATCTGTTTTTCTCCAGAAAGTGCGTTCGACAGATATTGTAGTACTGGCCGGAGACTTGAATGCTTAGGTCGGGTGTCTAGGCACAGAAGAGAATCGTTTGGGTGGCCGATGGAGACTTGTTAGTCGCAGGACAGATAACGGGGACCGTCTACTGCAACTGTGCACAGACCACAACCTATTTCTGTCTAGCACTAATTTTCGGCACAGTCATAGCCGATGTGCTACCTGGCGTCCTCCCTCTGCATCTCAAGCCTGGACTCAGATTGATCACATCGCGATCAGCTACCGCTGGCGTGGTTGTGTACGAGACTGCCGCTCCTTTTGGAGTACCTATCTGGACTCTGACCATGCCTTGGTCTGCGCCAATCTTACCTTACTTTTCAGTGGCCAACGAAGTGACCGCCACCAACGGATTGATGTTAGCAAGCTGGTTGCAACTTCTGTTGCTAGTAAGTATCGAACCGAGCTAGTTTTTAGGCTAGCTACCATTCCACCGAAAAGTATAGATGAGCATTGATTGCAATTGTATGACGCCATGAAAATGGCGGGTACAGTCAGTTGTGGGTTTGCGAAACATCCCGCTTTTAAGCACTGAGTTTCTTCAGGTTCCTTACAACTCATTGAAGCCCGTCGGTCTACTCCGGGTGACCGTGAGTTTGACCACAAACGAAGGTTGTTACGTAGTGAAATTGGGCAAAGCTTGCGTAAGGACCGAGAAGCCTGGTGATTGGAGCGTGCTAATGAGCTGGAAGCAGCAGCTGCATCTGGTAATTACCGGAAGCTCTTCCAACTCATCCGAGCCACTGGCAACAAGAAGTCAGGTGTGAGCGAAACAATCTGTGAGGATGACGGGATGCCAATCACTAACATCCATCGACGTCTTGGACGATGGGCAGAATTTTTCGAAGGGCAGCTCAACTGGCCTGCTGCTCTGGAAGCATCGGTCAGACTGTCCTGCCCTCCATGGCCGGTGACGACTGATCCACCAAATGAGGCTGAAGTCCGCAAGGAACTTCAACTCATGAAGCGTTACAAATCACCTGGCCCAGATGACTTACCTCCGGCTCTTTTTAAAGATGGTGGTGACTTTTTGACTAAGGAATTGACGACGTTGTTTACAAAGGTTTGGGATCTAGAGAGTGTACCAACGTCATGGAATGAGTCGATAGTTATCCCTATCTTTAAAAAGGGTTCACGTCGTTCCTGTAACAACTATCGGGGGATAAGTCTACTTCCGATTGTGTCCAAGCTATTGGCTTCCGTCATACTTCGTAGGTTGTTCAAAACCCGAGAAAGATTGACTCGCGAGGAGCAGGCTGGGTTTCGTTCTGGTCGAGGATGTATTGACCATATCTTCACCCTCCGCCAAATGTTAGAACACCGCCATACTTATCAAAGGCCAACAATCGTAGTGTTTCTTGACATCAGGGCTGCCTTCGATTCGTTGGATAGGACTGTTCTCTGGGATTGTCTATTGAAGAAGGGTGTGTCAGAAGTTTAATAACATCCTAAAGACCCTACGTACAAACACCTCAGACAGAGTGAGGGCATACAACCACCTCTCTCCATTGTTCTATTCGAGCAGTGGGGTTAAGCAGGGTTGCCCCATCTCATCATTCCTCTTCAACTTTGCCATCGATGACATTCTGGAGACAGCTCTGATGGATGTAAGTAATGGTGGTGTGGATCTGTTGCCTGGAGAAAGACTTCTCGACCTTGAGTATGCGGATAATATTGTCTTACTGTGTGATAATGCCCAAGCCATGCAATCCGCACTTAATCAGTTGGCAATCAATGTTCGTAGGTATGGTATGTGCTTTGCACATTCGAATTGAAAAGTACTTCTACAAGATTGGCAGGATTCTAATCCTGTACTCACCCTGGATGGTGAGCAGATAGAAGTAGTCGAGAAGTTCGTGTATCTAGGTAGCTGCATAAGTGCTGGTGGGGGTGTGAGTGATGAGATCAATGCACGTATAGTGAAAGCCAGAGCGGCTTATGCCAATCTGGGCCATCTTTGGCGCCTTCGTGATGTTAGTCTGGGCGTAAAAGGTCGGATCTACAACGCGTCAGTGAGAGCAGTTTTGCCCTATGCTTGTGAAACCTGGCCTCTCCGAGTTGAGGACGTTAGACGACTCTCTGTGTTCGATCGTCGCTGTCTCCGAAGGATTGCTGACATCCAGTGGCAACACCATGTCAGTAATGCAGAGGTTCGGCATCGTGTATTCGAGCGCCGAGACGATAATCCAATTGGTGTCACCAACACCGACTTCGGTGGCTTGGACATGTTTTACGAATGTCGTCACAGAGAATTCCACGTCGTGCATTATTTGCCGACTCTGGGACTGGTTGGAAAAAGCGGAGGTGGTCAGTATATGACATGGTGTCGTGGTATGAAAGAAAGCTGCAAAGGACTGGCTTGTGTCGGTCCTTCACGACTCCCTGGTTGGGGTCCGAGAGATGGTGCTACACAGTGGCTAGAGACGTTATCAGAAATGGCTCAGAATAGAAGCCAGTGGCGATCCTGCTGTAACCTTTTACTTTCTTCATAAAAATGGTTGTTTCCTCCTTAACTGAAAGATTTCTTCTGATTGTACCCTTCTGTTCCCCTACTATTGCTATTATTACTATTACACTACCTTAAACCAATCTCTTCGTTATTGTTTTTTTTAATTATTATTATTATTTCTTTTTTACATTCCTTCATCCTGTTTAACAATACTGTTAAAAACTTTTCCCGGTATTGAAAGAAGAGTGATGTCCCTGTAGTTATCACAGTTGCTGAGATCGCCTTTCTTCGGTATTTTGATCAGAAGTCCTTCTTTCCAGTCTTTTTGTACTTGTTTCTCATCCCAAATCTTATTAAAGAGAATGTGGAGTATCCTTGCAGTTGCCGCTACATCTGCTTTTAGTGCCTCTGCTGGAATGTTGTCTGGTCCTGCTGCTTTGCCACTCTTGATTTGTCTGATGGCCATGCTGATTTCTTCAATTGTTGGTGGGCCAACGTTGATTGGGAGGTCCGTGGGTGCTGCTTCGATGTTGGGTGGGTTCAGTGGAGCTGGTCGATTCAAGAGTTCTTTGAAGTGTTCTACCCACCTGTTTTGTTGCTCTTCAATGTTGGTGATTACCTCGCCTTCCTTGCTTTTCACTGGTCGTTCTGGTTTGCGGCGATTTCTAGAGAGTTTCTTTGTTATGTCATACAGTTGTCTCATGTTCCCTTCTCTTGCAGCCTTTTCCGCCGTCTTTGCTAGATCTTCCACATATTTACGTTTGTCGGTTCTGATGCTCTTCTTCACTTGTTTGTTTACTACTGTGTATTCAGCTTGTGCCTTGGCTTTTTCTGCTCTTGTTCGACCGGTATTGATTGCTGCCTTCTTGTTTCTCCTTTCTTGAATCTTATCCAGTGTATCAACAGTGATCCATTCCTTGTGATGGTGCTTCTTGTGACCCAGGACCTCATGACATGTTTAAGTGATTGCCTATTTGATCCCTTTCCAGTTGCTCTCCACAGTAGTTCTTTCTCAATTGAGTAGATCATGAAAGACCTGGAACTTGTTGCTGAGGACTATCTTGAATTTGTTGAGTTTGTTAGTATCCTGAAAGGCCGTAATGAACTTTTGTGATATTGTCCGCCCCATTGTCCAGTGCTTCTTGAGTTTCAATTTCATCTTGGCGACCAGCAAGTGATGATCTGATGCTATATTGGCTCCTCTCTTGGTTCTCACGTCCTCTATAGTCCTCCTGAACGTTTTGTTGATGCAAATATGGTCGATTTGGCTTTACGTGGTGTGATCCGGTGAAGTCCATGTGGTTTTGTGAATGCGTTTATGTGGGAATATGGTGCCGTCTATGACCAGTTTATTGAAGGCACATAGGTTTGCAAATCTCTCACCAATTTCGTTTCTTTCTCCCAGTCCATGTCAAGTAAGTAACGTTCCTCACTTTTTTCTTAGATTCTCATTGTTTTGTGTGGCGCATATATATTCAGCCCACTCCTGTACCAATATATATATGTGTTCAAATAAATAAAAGTCTCGTGCACGAGCGCTTAACCATTAGACCACTGAGCCGGCATCAAACGGTGATTTCTAACTTCGACTAATCCACGAAATTGAGCGACACAACCACCATTGTCATCAGTGAGTTACCATCTCATAACAGACCCGGTTGAACTCCCCCGGTCACTGCTTCTAACTAGAACTCCAGGATATACCTCTCGAAGCAAATCACTAGTGAGTATATGTTGATTAGTATCAGAAGAGGTTTTGTGGAGATTGTAATAATCTTAATAGTTGTGATCATGAGTCAATTGAAGCTAGAATGTACAAACCAGGTCATATAGAACTGCTAGATGATCCACGGTAAGAGTGCTTCGCATATTTTTTAACCACATACCTAATTGATTTACAGGCATATATGCAAACCAAACACTGATTAAACTGTCCAAGATAGATAAATACATATTTCAGAGAATAGTATTTGAACTAATGAATACAGAAATATACTGCAAAGAATGATTACTACGTTAAAATGTCACATAAAGAAAGACATACATAGTTCTAAAGGCATAGGTAATTCGTGTCTGCCTATCAAGCGACGTACGAGGAGCTAAAAGATTCGTGTGTGCACTTGGAAGTCCGAATGATTATGTCTATAACTAAACTTATACGTAATAAATTGTCAATAATTACAGGAGATAAACTCTTGTTATTAACTGTGCAAAATGTGTACACTAAGAACCTGAAATTATTTTAACACTCACATCTGCCAGATGTTCAGCATTTATTGGGCTGAGTGTAGCTCCGAGGGAGGAAGCAATAGCAGAACGAACCCTTTCACAGAAATCCTCATCTGTTTCATTAGACATCCGACTAATCGGAGTTAAATATTTGACATGATAATATGTAAAAGGAGTGAAGAACTGCCACAAAAGCTCCATAAACCAAAAAACAGGATGAACCACCTACAATAAATTTATATATTGGTATAAATGAAGCACAGCATGTATGAATACTAACGAGCAATATTTTAAAATCTGTTTCTTTGAAAAGAAACAGCATAAAGGCCGAATATCAAATAGCCAAACTTACCTTGGAAAAACGAGATAGGTCATCACAATAAAGTAAACAGGTACGAACAATAACTCAGTGGTGAAGTATGATAGATTACTTTAGATTAAAAACAAACAACATTTGTTCAAAAAATTCCAATAAACGCAAACAATGTGTTGCAACTTTTAGCATGTAAGAGTGATAAACGCTATTCAAAAAAAGATTATCCGAAATCATTTTGGAATGACAGACATCTTAGAAACGGTGACTATTTGCCTATACGCTGGATGAAACTAAAAGCTCAAGAAAATTCCTATCTTTGGATGACGATTCTAAACACACCTTAAATAAGTATAGAAAAAAGTTAGTTAATGAACTGAGATATCAAACAAAACAAGAATGACAAAACTTAGTTGATTGCTGAAAAAACACAGAGTAACTTAGATTGAGATCTGGGTTTAGCACTAGTTTAAGCTGTTTCCAAAAAGGTTTCTAAGAACCTTATATCCTTGTACAAACCACAGGCCAGACATCAATGCAATGACACTGTTTATACATTATGATCAGTCAATGAGTGTTTCCATTAAAAGGCTTTATCACAAGACGTTGAGGTAACACTGAAAGCATTTCTTTGGTAAACAAGTGGTACATTTTGATATCCTTGATACGTAACACTCATTGAAATGAATGTTGCAGTTCAGGGTGCAAACAATTATTGGGGCGAGTAAGTGGTTTAATCCACTGAGAAGAAACGGATCGGCATTACTAGTGGCATCCGATAAGCTACACATTGTAGTGTGAGGCACCACTTTCAAACTAAAGAATAAGCACCATAATCAATGCCCGTATGCATGCATTAGAGACTCTGATGAGTTGTCGAAACCCCATCACTAGCTTCTTTTTTGAACCGAAAGTGTCTTTTCTAATTTCTTACCGACCATAAGTGACAGAGAGTAAGTGATCATCTAACTATGATTTTCGTAGATTTATATCCTTATGCAATACGAAACATTTGACAAAGTGATATCTCACTTTTCCACTTCACCTGAGATAACCAAAAACTTAAACTATAACTGACGGACAATTATCTGTGAAAGCAGATGATTAATGTAAATTTCGTTTGCATAAATGGCATGTCGTTAATCGAGTTTTTTAGGCGTTCAACACCTTGCAGCTGTTATTAACTGTTGGTTTTCTCCACAATGAAGGGCGTCCGTCAGTTAATCATCAATAACGCAGGACAGAGTACAAATCTCCATTGTTGTTGTGCTACACCACCGCTGTTAGATGAAATTAACTAAATTAATACCATAATAGAAAAAATAGAATTAGTGTAAACAATAAAAAAACTGGGCATTCGAAATATAGTTCGACAATGAAGTCAATATGCTACTTATAATTCAGTGAATCAATGCATTGCTTAAGTCAGGAAAGCCCAGTAAGAATGTATCCTTTATAAATGCTTTCACTATGTCTTGCTCTTTATGAATTAAGATTCTTGATCATATTCACGTACTTAGATGTTAACTCATAAAATACGGACACTTTATTTTATTCGCTCGTGTTTACTATTAGAAATCAAAAGTACGAAGTATCTAAATAATCAACCAGCCTAATAGACTATATATATGCCATATATTGGCTGACCACATTTGTATGGTGACTTTAATCTAGAAAAATGAAAGTGAAGCATAAAGTGTCAGTTTGCTTAACAAACAAACTACTAATCTAGTGTTGTGTAAGGAGTTTAACCCAAAGTTATTAGAAAAATTGCCAGTCTAGTAACAAGTCTCAGTGAGTAACCATACAGACTAACATGACGCGTACATGGGGTTTTATTGATACTAACTCTCAAAGCAGGAGGAAATATAATACTCTAATGCTTTATTTAACCATATAAACAAAAAAGGTCACCAAACATCCCTATTTACAAAGTTCACGCACTCATTAAGAAGTCGAATTATGCAAAACCTGATGAGTAAGCAAATACTATAGCCCTGACTCCTCGTGACTTGGTATAAATGAAGGGTACGATGTAACTAATACGTAATACAAAACTTGTTGTGTGATAAGTGTTAAAACCTGATATGCCACTGAGAAATTAACCGATTCAGTGCTTCTGAAAAATTATGTAAGTGAAGTATAAGTATAATACTTTTCAGTATGGACGTGATTTGAGAAACTAATTCTGTTCGTAAATGCATATTTACCCGACATCATTTTCTTTAACTTCTAACCTTATGTCTTCATTTGCAAATATTAATTTGACTTATTACATCATTTGAGAACTAATTCACTGTAGTAAAGCCATTCATAATCCGCTGACTTATAAATCAAAATTTTAATCATCACATCTTACGCAATTAAATATCACATGACCGTGAATGATCATGAGTTAAAAATTACTCGGAAAAATTGACGGATTGGTGAATATAACCAAATGAAAACAGTTTACTTACTAATTTAATAGGAAAGATCCGATTAACTTTAAGTGCCACCTAAAGAAAATATTAGGTATCGTAAATGTTGTCACTTACAGGTTGTACTTTATCCACTGAACCAAACATCTTGTGATCAAACTTAAAAAGGCAATCAGAAGAACCAGACGGTGCTTTTTCAGGAAGTAGATGAACAGGTTGATGATTGTCTAGAAAAATACTTAGCATAATACGGACTCACCTCGTGCACACCAAAGGACGAATTCAGGAACGGAACGAGTCTTTTCTTTGTTATGTGGAATTGACTTCCAATGGAAGACATGTGTATTCGGCTGTTGATTATTAACAATTAAAAAATCAGTCCTCATTGCATGCACACGTCAAGTATGGACAAGTTCATAAGTTCAAAAAAACGCACTAACGGATGAAAGAACATCTTACACGGTGGAATTTTAAAAGGGTTCAGCGTTTGTCAGTTAAACATCGACACATAACTCACGAGAGAGTTAACTATACAGAAGTCGACTTACAGGTTTATTTACAAACTAAAAAAATTCAGGGGCTTATTATATATGCTGTGTCGGTCTATACTACTGGTGAACTTAATGTATGCTTCCAAAGCAAATTGACGAATGCTGAACGACTGTATGTAGGAGACTCCGTTTCAATACTTGGCACTTACCCAGAAAGTTGAATTAATGGTTAGAAATGTGAATGCTATTAGTTTTTTGTTTTAAGGACTACAGATACACAATGGGACAGTTTCTTTGTTTGAACTTGGTCCCTCCTATGTTTTGCAGCACGAAAACCTACTATATAGTTTAACTACAACGAGATTCAATAGAAATGAGGATAGTGGTCAACTCTAAAAATAGGGATTTAGTTCTAATGACACTATCATAAGCTTTAATTTGACCAATAGTGTTCGAGCAGACCTGTGGTAAACTTTTCATAATATAGCATCACAGTAACGCTCGGTCAATTAAGCTGAACATCCTTTTAAGACCACAAAATGCTATTATTGTCGGGCATCAGTAAATATGACTTAGTTAGGTGCTACTTTTGGACCGACTCCCGTTAGTGGTTGGGACTAAACTTATATAATCTAATAGTTATGTTAGAATCTGTACATGTTACAAATGTGATAAAAATAGTACGAAAACTTACTGTGACACAATCCTCTGATAGACACAGTACCAAATGGTCAAACAAAGTAACATAATTGGATACGAAAGGCATACATGTGTTCCGATCAGTACGAAGATCTGAATCGATATACACAACGAAACCCAGAACAGTGCACATAGAGCGCAGCACGAATCTGAATATAGAGTTCAGTACCGATATAACCAACCTTCGAAGGGATTCGAACTGAGATAGCACCCATGAAGCTAGGAACGCGTGCAGAAATATTACCAGACGCAAAATCACAACTACTAGTCCCAAAGGGGTATATGGGAGTACAAAGAGACCATACGGGAGGATAATTCTAACAGAATTAGAACAACAGGATCCCAGTTACCTCATTCTAATCTGACTTAGTTGAATTCTTATCCGGTAAGAACGGGATGAGATAGATACACAAACAGAACGTCTGTTAAGATCATACATAGTTTGTACTGAAAACTTACCGTTATACTGAAAATTCAACAGACGTATTCAGTATTTTTCAAACCCTAGTAATACGCTTTTATGTCTGAATGAACCAGGACGCATTACCAACTGCGCAAAACCGTAGTGCTCGAAATGACCTAGAGAAATCTAGGATGACCTCTGCAACAATAATCCAATTTCCAATCTATCTTTGTAAAGCGATTGCTCGAACTGTTTTATCATTTTGAGCCTAAGTCCTTGTATTAGACGACAAACCCACATCATCAGCATTTTTTTGCGATAATATTACTGAATTCTTCAGAAAATTGACATTTTTTAAGGCTAGCAAGTTTTCTCACGATAATAAGATTCCTGGAGCTAGAAATCTTCACATCATAAAGACCCCTGTGGTTATAAATATTTTCCAAGTATGATTTGATTGAACGTGTCAAACAAGTCGAAATTTGAGGGAAAAATGAATAGATAGGGAGGAATAAAGGAAAAGTGAGCAGATAATAAAGAGGTAAGCGATGCAAGTAACAAACATTTTTAGATTTATTCGGTGGCTCAGTTTGGGGAGAGCACTTTGTGGTGGTCTACTCCACTTCTGATAGGACACTAAAACATAGTCTTTTGAACAAAGGCGCATGTTGGATACCAAATGCTTGCTTTCAATCTGTCTTCAGTCTTCAGTAATAAGGATAGGAGTTCTGTCGACCTATATTAATCCTTGCATTTTGTAATGCTGTGGAGGTCTAATCTCGTTTTGAATATATTAACGGAGGGTACTGATAATACGTGTTCCTGTAGAAGAGAAGAGGACCGGGGATGGTACCTTGAGGAACTCCACTTTTTACAGGTACCCACGAGGAGAGAGCCCCATTAACCCCTATCTTTTGCATTCCGTCATGGAGAAAGTTACTTATCGAATCTACGACTGTATGATGGATTCCAAAACGTTCCAGTTTAAAGTTGAGACCAGAGTGGGAGGCTTTTTTGAAAGCCATACTTAGATCTATGAAGATCACATGCACAGAAATATTCAGATCTTTTGCAGCAGCCAAATCTTTTCTTGCAATGAGAAGATTTGTCAAGAATGATGGGCCTCTCCGAAAACCAGGTTTTTCCATGGAGAAAAGATTATGCCTTTCAACATATCTTATAACAGATATCCGAACGACATTTTCCATCAGTTGTACAACTACAATAGTTAAGCTAACGGACCTATATTTACTAAATCCCTACTCCCAGCCTTATACACTAGACTTATTATAGCGACTTTCCAGTCTCTGGGCAGTCTGGACTGCCTCAGAGGCATGTCAAACAGTATCGCTAATGGTTCAGCAATTACATCTGATATGGCTTTCGTAATCCTAGGATGAATATTATCAGGACCACTGGACTTATCAGGTCTGAGATGCTGAAGTAGCCTTAAAACAGTACCTTTCTCAAGGATTACAGGGTCCATCAGCGAGCTGCCACGATCTCAGTGAATCGTTTGTCGTTCCTCATTACCGATAGAAAACACTTTACTAAAATATTCCGATAAAGCTTCAGCTTTTTCGGCATCAGTTCTGCCAAGATTAACGGATTTTCTTGTGTCAAAAGTGATGGAATTCCATCGCTTTTCTTAGTTCGCCTTTTTAAATACGAGAATAACCGTTTCGGACTATATCTAGAATATCTAACCAATTGTTTTTCATATGATCATCTAGTACTATTTATTAACGCTTTACATGCATTCCTAATCTTACAATAACTGGATCTGTATTGTTCTAAGCCAGTATAGATGAACATATTTCAGTGCTTTTTCCTTTTTCTAAGAAGTTTCTTGACTGTTATTCAGTCTTCGCGGTACTAGGTATGGTATGAAAGAGGACGTAACTAAACTAAACTTACCTTTAAATACAGACTATGCTTCTTCAACCAATAAGCTAGTATCTACAACCCAATCTGTCTTAGCAGCGCATTTCTGAATGGCTGATATGTTAGCTTTACATAAATTTAGGCATGATGTAACCTGGTGGTATAACATGACCCTAGTTCTAAACGTGAATGACAAAACAGCGTGATCGCTGTTCACTAACGGTGGAAGAATATTTAGGTCGACAATATCCTCAGTCTCATGAATGGTTACCAAGTCCAACAGAGAAGAACCTTGGTTTGCATCAAAAGGTGTGGGTTTGGATACATGCTGCACTAATGCATGCTCCATTACTGTTATCAGGAACCTATTATCAAAGGAGTTTATAGATCCTTCCGTGATCATCTCAGTCCAACTAATATCAGGTGCATTAAAGTCTCCTATTATCAAGCATCTGGTATTTGCACTCCAAAGATGAATGCGCTCTAAAATAAAGTCATCAGCTAGGCAGATTGGACTGCGATTGATGAAACCGAACATAAATGTATTACATCCGGTAGTCAATTCACAGCTAATGACTTCACAAGTGCCGCTATCATGGGATTCACTACCAGAGGAGGGGAAAATTATATTATTGGCTGTATATAACAGGACGCCACCACCTTTTCTTCATCTATGTCTATCACTCCTGAGGTAATGGTATCCGGATAATTCTGTAGTAATGTCTAAGTCATGGACTAACCAAGTTTCTGTCACTGCTACAATGAGTGGCTTTAACCTGTCCACTATTGCTTCTAGTTCATAGAACTTATTTCGTAGACTACGAGCGTTAGCATATAAAACTCTTAGGCAGAACGGCCTATCCACACAAGTCTTGGTAGCACTCGCTTCCAAGATCTGACTATACAAAAACTCACTAACCGGAGATTTTTCTCACCGTTTTATCGACCGGTTTCTAGTTCAGTTAGTGCCTTCTTCCTTTTTATTCTGTCTTCAAGAGACGTATGAGGTCAGAATTATCTTGACAACGTGCGCTACTGAACAAAAGATCACGTTGATTCTCAGATCCTAGGATTACTTTAAGCAGTCTACATGGTTAGGGTTTAATATTATCCTCGGCCCTCTTACATATTCTAACCAATGTTTTGATTTGAACTCCTTCAAAGTTTTCTAGTAAGATACTACGAATATATTCTGCCAGCTTCTCTAAATCATGTGTGTGTCTAATTTTGGCATCATGGTAGCTTGACTCTAGCAATTTGTTCACAATAATATTCAGTGATATTAGATTCTTCTTCTCAGTCACACCAGGGTGGATTTCTCTCTACTGTCAGACTTTGGTAGTGTATTTTGTGACTCACAAAATGAGTCCACCAGTGACTTGCTAATCACCTACAGCTTTTTTTATTTTCGTTTTCTCCGTACTGTAGTCCATTTTTCATCCCTCAGGATACTGGGACTATTTAGAACGGTGACGGCTTTATCCAAATCTCCCGTTTCCACTAGAGGTGCATGGTTACGAATGTCAGTGTCAGATGGTACCACCCCCATCGTTAATCTTAACGGAGATTTAACTTTTTCGCCAGTCAAAGTCGGTTGTTTGAGGCGTCTCGTAGCAGCAGGTACTACACTAACACATTCGTCACTGTCAGTGATCGTGTTATCAGTGCATAAGCCATCGTTCTTCTTACAGGCCAAAGCTAATAGGCTCATAGCCTTCTGTTTTAGTAACGTCTCATTTGCACAGCGAAACACGCAAAACAAACGTGAGTTAGGCGTCGAACATCTTTTGTGTGCGGTGGGTCTTAAACGGGTGCACACTGCATTCCTTCCTCCACAGGGAACAAACACTTTAGTTGTCCAGATTTGTGAGTACTACCGACCATTTTAGTCACATTAAGGTGTAGAACACATTATCATCACAGTATGAACACAATTGTCAGTCAATGAGTAAAAGTGCACCACAAGATAAACTATAGCAAGATTTCAAACCTTAACTAAAGTACTTTGATATGGACCAAGAATGCTTTTGATGTAACAATGACACAAAAGCAAGGATAATCATAAGAAGTATCAAATCACTGCCCTTTTTTTCGATCCAGTAATACAGCAAAGATTCTTTCGTGAACCCCTTTGGGTACAATTTAATGGAGAAATTATAGGAACAATATATTTAGTTGACCAGTGTTCCGAGCCGTATTACGTTTGTATTTACTTCATCCATTCACCTGTCTAGTTAAAGAGTTTAATACCAAACAAACTAGGTGACCGACGAACCACTGTAATCTTATTGGATATTTTGTGAGCTCTTATCAGTTCTTCCAGATTTATTGTTTCATTCTCGTGTAGCGGTAAATAAATCCCCATAATAAACAGCTTTATAAGTCTTCGACACTAGATGCTGATCACATTAGTTTTGATGGACTAGCGTAGGTGAAGGCGCTCATTCATGCATCCGCACCAGATCACGAGTGGGATTACCGTGATTAACAACCCCTGCAATCGCTGGCCAGCCTACATCACTCGATCCTCTATATATTGATGATCTATCAAATATATCTTCAAGCCTCCTTGCTCCTGTCTTTTGATTTCACTTGGTGGGTACGCTTCATATTAGGTGTTACTGGTTAAAGCGTTGTCAAACTCCGAATACCTGTGACATCTTCATTGGTGAGCCCAACGTGATCTGGTACACTAACTTGCAAACTGTGGGTCTGTTCCTTTTTGGGATTTTATACATCACTGCTTTATTTGAGTCTTTGTATATTGTGATATTTTTTCCGTGTTTTTGGATATATATATTTTTCTCCGTCTATTCTTGTACTTGATATATGTATGGAAAACATCCCTTATCACCCCTAGATTCAAAACAGAATCACGTAGTGATATTATTAACTATAGGCCAATTAATTTATTATCCGTGCTCTCAAGAACCGTGGAAAAAATCATCCGCAAATAGCTATTATCATTTTTGCTTTCGGCTAGTCTGATCAGCCCATCCCAACAGGGTGTAGGACTAAACGCTCATGTTTCACATCGCACCTGGATATTTTTGATCAAATTACCCAGAGAAGAGATGCTGGTCAGTCAGTGATAATTCTTTACTTCGATTTTAGTAAGGCTTTCGACAGTGTCTCACACAAACTTCTTCTTTTAAAACTCTCTTCATTTCGCATACAGAAGAACGTAGCCAAATCGTTCGCTTTGGATCTTGCTACTCTAATCCTGTAAATGTAACCAGTGGGGTTATATAAGGAAGTGTGGTTGGTCCATTACTCTTTCTTCTTTTTATCAATGAAGTGTGTTCCCTCTTTCAGTATAGTAAGCCTTTCCTTTTTGCTGATGACCTGAAAGTAGTTTATTCATTCTCTTCTCCCACGAAAGAAAGCCATATTTCAGCGGTAATCCAAGAGGAAATAAACAAGTTGTACGAATGGACTATTTCGTGGAATATGCCACTGAATGTTGACAAAAGTGGATTTATTCACATTGGTCGCTGTCTTAACTTAAATCTGACTGTACATACACATACACTCAAACCTCTCAACACTGTTCGTGACCTGGGTTTAAGATATAGCAACAGTCTGAACTTTTCTGAACACATTATATCTCAAATATCGAAAGCTAGAAAGCTCATCGGATTGATAATGATAAACTTCAATAATATCGAATCGAGATTGTTACTATACAGAAAATGTATCTAACCCATTCTTGAATATGGTATTTTAGTTTACAGTAATTGTAGGCATAATGATCTGATTAGAATTGAAGGTGTTCAAAGAAAGTTCACCAAAACTGTTCTTAGGTATTCCGATAACAAAGACCATTACGAAAGATGTCAACAACTCAACTTAGAACCTCTTTGGATCAGACGTATCAAATTAAACCTTGTCTTTATCTACCGACTCATTAACGGTATTTCCTACTCTTCGGTATCCACCCTTTCATACCTTATGATATCATCCCACAATCTACGCAATAAGGAGAATATTCTAGCGATTCCAAGAACCCACACAAACATTTCCTTTTTACCGATGACCTGAAGGTAGTTTATTCATTCTTTTCTCCCACGAAAGAAAGCTATATTTCATCAGTAATCCAAGAGGAAATAAACAAGTTATGAAGCAACAATCGATCCCACATGTGCACCATAAGACAAAGAGAGCTAAATCAGTGTTCTTTGCAGTAATTTTGTTGTTTTACCGCAGCGAAAGACCACTTAAATATCAGAACATCTGATATTCGTGCAAACCAACGGACACCCAACAAACCCACAACACTTGAACTAAGCAATGAGCGCCTTTTGTGAAGCCGTTCATTGTCGTTTAAACAGAATGGCGGGCGGCTATAAAAAATCTAACTTTTTTACCGTACCATTTTATCGACCACTATAGACTAAACAAATCGCTTATAGAAGAAGTGATAAGTTCTTAAAAGCTGACACGGTACTTATGGAATTTAAGGGAGTTCACGAACTCATTCGGTAAACAGAGTGAGTTCTCGGCCTTCCATAGTGTCGAAAGTGCTTTACAGCATAATATATAGTAAAGAGTTCCTCACTTAGAATGCCACTCCGAGATTTGTTGTTTTGCAACTGTCTTGATAATGCACTAGGTTGCCAACTGTTGTTTACTCATTGTCGTAAAACTCTTCCGGTTGTTGAGTTGGATGCGTCTACTACGACAGTGATTTGTGCTTCTTTGTTCTGGTTTGCGAGCATAGTTGCTTTAGTAAGAAGTTCCTTAAGTGTGGAGAATGCTTCCTTCTCGCCGTCGTCTAAATTGATGATTTGTTCATTTCTACGAAGCTGGTCCATTAGACGTCTCATGACATATATAACATACATAAACCGTCGATAAAAACCTACCAGACCATCGAACGCACGAAATTGCTTGGCTACGGTCGGTTCTTGGCAAGCCATAATGGCCGCTGTTTCAATTTTCAGAGTGCGAATGCCCTGAATATCAGTAGCGTGTCTAAGAAAATATAGGTAGTCGGTGCCGACTTGACATTTCTGAGTGTCCACAGTAATGCTGTCCTTTGCGGTCGTTCAGAAACAAGGTACAAGTGTTGAAGATAAGATCCCCTGTTCAGACGTGCAATAGAGCACTCATGTATGTACACATATACGAGGTTAATACCTGAACTGACGTTCTCAGCGGATCCCTGGAAAGTTCGTGCGGCATTTTTCAAACCGAAAGGCATGCGCAAATATTTGTAGAGTCTGAAGGGGGTGACGATAGCGGTTTTGGAAATATAGTTAGCAGCCATGGTAATTTTGTTATACGCTTTAACCAGGTCGCTTTTCGAAAAGACAGTTGTATTTTTTAAGGTAACCCTCAAATCGTGCATGTGAAGCAACTGGTACCGATGAGGAATGGCTTTCGCATTCAGTTGCCGAGAGTCATCGGTCGGACGCCAATCGTTGCTGTCCAGTTTACGAACCATTGTAAGGGAGATGCCCATGAACTGTTCAATGGCCGACTGATTCCGAAGTTTTTCATATGGTGGAACTTGACTTTGACCAACCTTAGCTTTTCGGGAGCTATTCGGTGCGATTTCACGAAAACAAGTATTCATGTAGTCGTGATTCGGCATATAACATTGCTGGTTACGAGATGATGACATTTCGCCATTACATCAGTAGTGTAAAAAACGGCTATGTTTACTCTCTACGGTTGACATTGACGCGTGCAGGCCCGGGAAGGTTACCGAAGAGTTTTCGGTGGTGGATGATTCAGAGCTCTGAAAAATGCAGGGTTTTGTGCAATTTCGAGTAGACTTACCATACGTATTGTGTTTCTGACACTATTTAGGATTATCTGCCTCTCTCGGTCTAGAGACAGATATTTTCCGTGACGAGCTTCCTTGTGGAACTTAGAAAACGATCGCTGTTCCGGCAGGCCTTCATCAAATGTCCGTTGACCAATAGCCTCTCACTCGCAGCAACATTTCTGTTGCCGAGTGATGTTGCAGGTTGATGTTGTGGAAGAGTTAGTCTCAGCTTTGTCGTCCGACTAGATATCCACGTTCAGGGATAGTTTTTTTAAAGTTTCGTAAGGTTCCGAAACATCACTAGTAAACATACTAGGTGTGACGTATCAGTTGAAAACACATAGTAGTACCTTCTCTACTGCGGGAAGTTGTGCACATGGATCGGTCACGCCGTGCTCGTGGAAGCCAGCCTTTGCATAGCAGAACCAGGTTTTGATATTGTCGGGCCATGATTGCATCAGCTGAAATGTGGGAGGCGAAAGGATCTTAATCTCAAATAACTTAGGAGTCTATTCCGTCATGATAAATACAAGCACAGCGATGCGCGAGAAAAGATATCTGAAAATATGAAGACAATATCACAATATGTGAAAATAAAAATTACTAAATGATATACAATGTTCCAACAGGGAACAAATACACAGTCCACTATTTGGTGTGCCAGATAACGACGAGCTCACTACTGAAGACGTCATAAGAATTCGGAGTTTGAAAACACCTTTACACCTAACACTTTCATATTTGGAGGATACCAACTCAGTCAGATTAGAAGACAGAAATGAAGGAGTCCAAAGTTATGTCTGGAAAGCTATCGATATATCGAGGAGCATTTGTTACAATCTGGATAACAGTTGTAAGAGATGCATAGCACGACGTACCCATTCGTGATCTGGTGCGGATACGTGACCGGGAGCCTTCAGATAGATTTGTGCATTAAAACTGATGGGGTCAGAATCAAAAATGTCGAAGACGTACAGAGCTACTGATTTTGTGGGTTTATTTACCACTACCACTTCCTTCGCATCTGATTATGCGCTATAAGAATTCTTTAAAGCGGCGGAAAACGTGTTCAATGGAAAAACATTATAGACAACAATTATAGGGGAGAATTGGCTGGAGCATATATCATACAGGATTCTTATTTTTTTCATCAATGTCTTTTGAAACAGAATGCTTGTTTGTATACATTATAGTTGCTAACTAATTTGTTTGATTACCGCTTCTGAATGCGTCTAAAGTTAAGATTTGACTTACTGATTTACCGTCTGTCTACTTATTCGACACTATCTGATATACATTGATTCGTCTGCTTAAAACCATTGTGTTGATTAATATGAATGTCTATCTAAGTAGTACTAAGGTATTTCAACTGAATAAATCTTACGAGTTCAAACTACATTTTCAAGTTTTCCTTAAATATGATTTCTTCCTAAAAAAACTTTAGTAATAACGCATTGTCATGAATCAACATTTCTCGTGTTTAGCTGTTGTTTTAGATATCTTGTTGTATATCATGTGAAACTAAAATATATCAATAATGTATGGCGTATACACATGATATCTTAATATTTTAAGACTCCTATTTCATCAAACTGAAGCTAAATAGGTAATTTATACCAAGTATACTTTCTCCATGCGGATGATTATTGTGAAGTCGGTAAACTCTAATGTTATTGCTAAATGGTATTTAAAAGTCAAGGTGTTTAGCTCAACTCTAAAGATGAAGTTAAATGTATGAAGTGTATTTAAAGTCGGTTACTTAAAAAAAGCTTGATTCAGTAGAAGTAAAAGCGTGACATGATTCAGATATCTTGTGATTTACAATGAAAACGAAAAGAATAACTAATTCACTATATGTTCTATATTTATACAATGAACACAAGTTAAAGCAGTTGATGGAATAATCTCTATATTTTACTACTTAATCCCATCTGTATAGGACAACTGTAATTAAAATATTCAAAAGTAATCGTTCATTTTAATACGATAAATTAACTTAGTTAAACAAAGTAAACGAACTGAAGTCATTCATCTGACAACAGGAATATTAGACATATGTGTCGTTCAAGATTTAGAACCACTATATGGTTTAATGCCAAAAAACTATTAGTTTGTAAAAATGAGTAAGACGTTATCAAATGAATGATTTTAAATGAAACCAAAAAAGAATTTCATATTGCTTCAAGATAGTTAGTTGGTACGAATTTAATTTCACCACATGGATGAAATTTGACTAAACTCCAATTAGTATTCCCATTTTGACCATAAGATCTTATGATTGTCACTAACTGACCTTTGGACAATATTAGAACATTTTTATTTTTAGACGAAAAATCATGAGTAATTCTGTGAGTTGGTTTATCGGGAAAATCATCATTCACACAGAGTTTTGAGGTTGAAGGTTGTTCTTTCACGTTTATATATCTAATGTCATCACCTGAAGAAATCCTGCACAGTTTTTTCTCCTGTTGGTAATCAGACTCACGATACTATATAATAGAGAAAAAACCGTCAAGAATAAATTGTAAGGTAAAAGTCAGTCTAATTTTAGAACAATATTCAAAATATCTTCAGAAATTAGAAGACCAATATTGCCTAAGACCTACAGTTCATGTCTAAATTTAACCTTGACTAGAGAAACTGATATTGAAACTACATAATTAACGCAGTAATAATTTAGAATCTTTGAGTATACAGTTCGCCTGTTACACAGTGCAGGAATTCGAATAATAATGAATTTATTTTTCAAAAAATGTTTTTAATTACTTGTATATATGAAATGAAATATTATAGTTTGCGTCAAATGTTTCTATCTTAAATAATAATCCGCTGATTAATGTGGATTTTAGTCTAATCGATTAAAATTGGTTAGCTGTTTTCTTTCACCAGAATAAGCTATGAATTAACATGGCACTACACAGTATCACTTTAATATTAGTTCCATGTTAAGAACTTTTCTGTACGATAAACTCATAATCGGAGATGTTGAAAAAAGTACCTCGATTTAGTAACTATTGTGGTAAGAGAATTATCTTCCTTATTCAAAATGTTTTCATTCATTACTTAAAAAATTAACATATGAACACTTATTCGTTGAAAATGCTTTTGAATATCGATCAAATCTAATTCTAAAATAATATTTTATTGTACGGATTTGAATCCGTAAAAGACACTAACTAGCCTATGACATAAATGAGAAGTAAAATAATGATAATCAGTAGGTCACACTTTCAAATACGAAATTCTTATTTAGATATATGAGAACTGTAACTCCAATACTACTGTAACATAAACTTCTCATAATAATCTTTAATGTTTATATTCTATACTTGAACAGCATTACCACTCATTAAAAAGTAGCTGCCTTCAAAATGATTGACATGTCAGTTTCATATTTTTTCTAAAGTGAAAATTAATGGACCTTATGTTGAAAAATATAAGAAAGTATATTTTGGTCAAAGTATACCCAAATTCCATGGCAGCTTACTCATACTCATCGAGTCACAGAGCATTATTCGCACCAAATTATTATTCTACATTATTCTGGTTATAGCACTAGTTTTCAGATGAAAAATCATACCTTAATGTAGTACATAAATATCGATAAGTTCGAAGTCTTATATAAAAAAACACAGTCACCTGTTTTGAATAATTATTCTAAACACATTATGGATGAATTTTTATCGGTAAATAATCGGTTGAATTTACACATGTTCTTAGTCACTGGTTGGGAAGTTAATTACCTTCAGCGTACATTAAAAGGCTGATATTCAGTTGACCAGGAAATTCCACATTCAATTTCTGAGAAACATTGAAACGATGTTCAGATTTTTAATAATATTCGTTTGTCTACCGCAATACTTCCATCTGCTTGTATAAGAATTTATTTTACTTATCACATCCTAAAACACTAAATTCAATGTAGTTAAATTTACGCATTAGGCATAACATTTAATTAAACAGAGTTTGGACACCAAACAGGTAGTAAGACATGGTTGATTACTATTCACGAAACCCCTCAAAGTACTAAACACTACACAGATGCTTTCTATTCAAACAGTTTTCTTTTGAATGAAAAAACTTTGTGATTTACAACCATAGAAAGTCGCTGTTTTTCCTAATTGTAATAAATAACACGGAATTACTTAAGAATTATTGGTACTTTTGATTACATCATAAAATGGATAGACAATTCATTACTTCATATAAAGAATTCATGAAGATAGAATTAAAAGAACAAACTACCAGTTTTATGCTTAGGATTCATCCCACAAATAGTTGAAAAACATGTGGAAGGTGTTTTGAAAATAGACATATCTTTGTTATCAGTATCATTTAGTATTAAGAGACCATATTTTTGATGTAAATATAACGAAAAACAAACAAACATCACAGACCATCTGTGTATGTCATTACAATATTCATTTTTACAAAAATAACTCTTTGAATTTATTATTTTGTTTAGTGCATCAATGATGATCAGTAAAGAGGGAATACTTATGAATATGAATATGTTATGCGTCATTGGAAATTGAAAAAATCTGGAGGATTTTTATATCAATCAGAACTTGTATATCAACATGAAATGATGTTTTTACATAATCCTAACGGTTTCATTATGAATTTGACTATTCCTCTAGATCTAAAGCTCTAACAATAATCATGATTAATTAATTGGTAATCTTGTTATAAAATATGTTTCATAAAAGATAAAAAAATCTTATATTTCGTCTTTCTACAAGGTACATTAAATCGAAACTAAACTAATACGTCTACCACTGAACTTTAACAGTATGCAAAAAATATATATTCAACTTACAATAATTTTCATTTCCGGATATGGTGATAAGGAATTTTTAATAACATTTCCAGTTGAAATCGTTTGACAGGGTTGAATATCTATATCTGAATTTGATAGATGATTGCTAACTGACATCACAGCTAAATAAATTTAAGAAATTGTCAAATATATATAACCAATTAAAGACAAATTTACAGTAGATAAGAGTATGACAATTGAAAATGTCATAAATTGTTTTATGTTTTTCAGTTTCGAGTACACAATACTGGATTTGGACTACTTCGAAGTTTTCAGTTTGACTTAAAATTAAACTAATACAAAGTTCTTTTTCTCAAGTTAATCATGCAGCTATGCTTATTCAACACAATAATACCAATGGGCGTATGAATAAATTCATTCGATAATTATTCAAAAACATAATCAAAGTGGAATAGCAAGATTAAAACGGTAAATACTATCAAACCAGTACAGATATAAGAAAGTAATACGTGATTTGTGCATTCGATTACTCAATCAAACAAGTGCAATTTTGTTCAGTTAGTCCGGTGAACTAACGATAATTGTTTTATGTATCGACTATATTGTTCTTTGTCTCATAAATTGTATTACAAGAACCCTATGGTCATGATTACTCAATCGTTTACAGAAAGGGTGTTAATTGCAAAATCTAACTTAATATTAAATATAATTAGACTTGCTTTAATTAATCATTTACTAACAGCATATATGTATAGACATTTCCTTTTGTCAATAAAACAAGAAGTAAGCGTTGAAAACCAACAGAGCTTGATTAATTTCCATCAATATAAATTTATTTAAAAAAAATTGTGCTATGGAACAAAAATAAAGCCGACTAGTCAACAATAATACTTAGAATATTATAAACATTTGGACTATCAGTTTGAAGTTAATACAAGCAAACATTGAAAAAAAAGTAGTGACCTAGCATATAAAATTTGAACAACTAATACGTTCAATTAAATTATCACAAAGCAGTAATAATTATTTCGGATATTCAGTTGGTTTTAAAGTTCATTAAGAAGACAACAATAATTTCAAATACAGACTTGCAATATTTGTTACTGGTGGATTCAGTTCTAATACAGAACACTGATTTGTTTATTAATTACAATAGTTGCAAAAATAAATCATCAATTTATTGAGCTTTAAACAATTTTATAAACGTTACGTTTTTGCTCAGGAATCGGGATAATAATTAAACTGTTTAATTTATTTAATACTCAAATACAAATCAGTTGGTTTGCCATTACTTTAATGACCTTAAATTCTTAATAACCCATTCATATTGACAAATAATACGTGAAATAAATAAAAGAACTATTCAAGCGTAAAATTCTAAAATCTTACGAGATTCTTGATGAGGTAAATTATTCTTGTCACTACACGTTGATTCTTCTTCCCATTTAAATACACTAGGTACTTCATATATTCTATGAGTTCGACAACGTTTTTTTTCGTAGAGAAGAGATTTTAATTTATCTACACGAATAATAAGTTCTGCAGGAGGTATATTACATCCAGGTTGTATAGATATATTGTCTTTTTCAGTCTGTTGAAAATATAAAATGTTTTTAACACTTTAATTAAAGACGTTGTACTATATAAACAATTAAATATTAATGTCTGTGCAAAATTATTCGTAAAGTCTTAAAATTTAACTGCATTTTCAAAAGTTTCTTAAAATTGCAATTATTCTAAATATCAATTAGTATACAAAGTCGACCAGACAGAGAAAACAGTTCACAAATTATTTATTCATAAATAGTGTGCTTCTATATAAAACTACAAACATTTAGTAATCCAAGTCGTGCTGGACTTCGAAAATCTTTTTATTTCTTCATCGCATCTTTGTGATGGGGACGTGACTCATCTTCGCAGTTACTCCCATATTTGATTTCAATGCTTCGGCTAATATGCTGGTTGATCCTGCTGCTTTGACATTTTTGGTATTTTGAATGGCTTTGCTGATTTCTAATATTGGCATGATGTAATCCATTAGGTTTGTTTGTGTGACTTCGATGTGGAGACTTTCATTATCCAGTCAAAAAACCAGGAGAAAATGGAAAGACCAAAGTAGACAAACTTGTCTGATACCTGTTCTCATTTGGAACGCATCTGTGAGCTGCCCTTCATCCACGACTTCACAATTCAGTCCCTCACAAAAGTTTCGTATGATACTGGTGATCTACCCAGGTACTCCACAGTGCCGATAAATATTCCATACGGTTTTCCGATTCACTGTGTCGAATAATTTCTCATGATCGAGGAAGTTGATAACTAGCTATGAGTTGAATTCAACTGATTGTTTAATAGTGATGCGAATTATATCAGTTTGGTCGGTACGTGATATATCCAAACGAAAGCTAGCTTATTAATCTCGAATTTGGACGTCTAAATCTTTCATTTGTTCAGCAGCAATCTGTTGGACTCTTAACTGGTACTGATAGTAGTGATCCGTTGGCGATTCTCACAATTATCACGATCTCATTTTTTCAGTATCCTAATGAGGTATCTGTCTGTCCAATCTCTTACTACTTGATTTCCATTCTAAATCTTTGCGAAGAGGACGTGACTCATCTTCGCAGTTACTCCCATATCTGATTTCAATGCTTCGGCTGACATACTGTTTGGTCCTGTTGCTTTGACATTTTTGGTTTTTTGAATGGCTTTGCTGATTTCCAATATTGGCACGATGTAATCCATTAGGAGGTTTGCTTGTGTGGCTTCGATATCTAATGGACTCAGAGGTACTGGTCTATTCAAGAACTCTTTCAAAAATGATTTTGAACCCAAATGATTGGTTACCATTTTGCCCTTGACTGGTATATCTGGTTTGCCGTATTTTCCTGAGAGCTTCTTTATTGCATCATATAGTTCTCTCATATTTTCTTCTCCAACAGCTTGTTCTACTGTAGTTGCCAGGCCTTCTAGATATTTCCACTTATCATCTCCAATTCTGTTGTTTACTCGCTTGTTTATTTCTGTGAATTCTGCATTTGACTTGGGTTCCTCTGTTCTTGTTCAGCTGTTGTCGACTGCCGTCTTCTTGTTTTTCCTTTCTTGAATGATGGCTAGGTTATCAATAGTTTCATTTTATATTCTGGTGCTTATTTAAAACTAGGCCCTCCTGACATATAGGTGTTATCATTTCTTTAATCTTTTTCTAGTTGTCTGCCATGGTGGTTTCCATTTTTCCGAGCATATCTAGTAAGGCTTGTAACTTGTTGCTGAGAGCTATCTTGAATTCAGTGAGTTTGTCAGTGTCTCGAAGGATGATCATACTAAACGTTTGTATTACTGCTAGTCTGACTGCCCAGTGTTTTCTTAGTTTCATCTTCAGCCAGGGCACCACCAGGTGGCGATCTGAATCTGTATGAGCTTTGTTTGCTACTATGACTTCCATGAACTTAATGAATTTTTTATTGATGTAGATGAGATATGTCTGGTTTTCTGTAGTGTGTTCCCATGTAGTTTCGTGTTTGTATTTGTGAGGGCAAGTACTACTACGTCACCATAGTGTGATTGAAAATAGACAGATGTATAAGCCTCTGGTCATCCTTGGTTCTTTTTTTAAATTCATTTAGTCTCATGACTTCTAAATACTCTATGTTGTCCATGTCAACCATAACGTTCAAGAATATCAAATCTTTTTCAGGACAGTGCTTCTTCACATTTCTACAGCTACTTGAATGTTCTTCTCAGTCTCCCACATTGTCTGAAGATTCCATCTATTTATATTAGTTATTGATCTGGTCTTCAGAATCCTTTTCGGTTTCGTGATTTCTATAGAAGTTGAGCTTTCATCATGAGGTGTCATAAGTCGTCTATATGAACACTCTTCAACTATCAGTTTAGAGTTTAAATGGTTCAAATAATTGTTTCTGATTAGTGTTTTTAATTAAGTTGTTTTTCACAGTATGTGTTACTATTCCGATATCCAAACCTTTTCACTTATTAGAGACTGGAACTGGTGGTAACCCCCGAAATGTTTTAGGCAGAGTGCGTCTATTAGTATAAATACTCACAATTTAGCACTGAATGTGTAATCAGTTCAGTTGAACAAAATGAAATACAAGAAAAAAATTCTGTTAAAAGAGGCTTTGCCGTGATGATAAATATATAATATCTAATTTACTATATTTAAATATATGAATTGAGCTGGAAAACATTATAAGTGTTTTTGGTATACCTTGTTTCAGCATTAATACTAACAATAGAATACCAACATCAACCACACATTCTTTGACTCATCAATTTAACCATTTTTGCAAAAATGATCAATATAATGATCACAACCAAAATTTTCTAGGCCTACACGGATTTATTAAAAGGATCTGCTTAATAGATTAAAATAGTTCTGATGTCAGCAAACATAATATCATAAAGAAAAAACTCTGTTGTATTCTACTGCTTAAATAATTTCTGAAGATCTAACAGTATTATTATAAATACATAAAATTACACTTCATTTAACTTATTGATTTTAACAAGAACATATGTATTTACTACTGAAAAAGAATAAAATTTGTACTGCCTTAAGGATCAGACCATATAAGATTTCATAGTTTGTTAGAATTATTTGATAGAAAACATAAATCAACACAGTATTACTTGCACATATTAATTATGCAATTAATTGTTGCTGTAAAACTTATGAAAAATTCATTCATTATAATTCTGTAAATCTTCTATTCATTATGTCACTTGTGCTTGTGATGGATGAAGTATGTAAACTTACTTCGTTTGCACATGATTTATTGATTTAAAATTAAACAGATTCACAAGCTAAATTTTATTGTTTTCGTATGAATAAAAAGTGTTGTCTAATAACGTTTAGAATTGTCTAGAATTTATGAAACGTTTGCCACAATTTGCACAAATATTTTATTTTTAAAAAATAACAATCTTATCAGTAAGGCATTTATACACTTATCATTACATTAGATAAAGTGAAAGTTTGTTGTGAAAGTATTGATGTATTCATAAAGTTAAACAAGATGAAATCAGTAACTTTTGTTGAGTTTTTCCAAATGGTAAGAGACTTCTGAATCCAAGTAATCTAAATAATGTGGTCATTTGAGTTTTATTAATTTGCTAAATATTACTGACCAACTCGTCCACGATTAACAGGAACACCTTTCACTAGTTGGACAGGTTTTACTGAAACTTCAGAAGTAGTTACTTGTCTGACTGATTTTATTGTCCAACACTATATTTTTATCTAAAACCATATCTTGTATTTAAACACTAAAATTAAAGTTATTTAGAAAGATATTTTGTTGAAAAACAATGCTTTTGAACGGATTTCTTAATCCATTCTAAGACACACAAACTAATTTCTCACTATAATAAGTTAAAATAAAAATAAGAGTTTAAGGTAATCAAAAAAAATTGTTCATAGTGTTTACGGCGTGTGTTTATTTACAAGATATCAGTAAGCCACTAAATCATGGATTTTAAACCAGTTGATATGATAAATAAAAATAAAATATTTGTAATATCCCAATGAACCCAATGCTCAATTTATTCGAAATTATCAAATCAAACCTTGGTAATGACACCTACAGTTGATATGATGTTCAAACTTGGGATTGTATAAGCGTAAAAACCATACCACTACTATGCTAGCTTAAAGTATGTATTAAATAGCTCAATGATAAATACATTCGTACAATTCATATTGTTTACATAGACTATATTCACTATTACTTGAACCAATGGTAAAGTTGAAAATGATAAGTCAAGGTCATTATGACATTTATTTTTATAACTTACATCGTTAATACATTTGTGAACTAAATTTTCAGCTTCTTGCATAAGATTTGATTGAAGTATAAACGCGTATTGACTAGCTGATAATAAAATACTATTTGCACTTTTTACCAATGAAGGTAGAATATTTTGTAGTCCAAACTGTAAAGTAGACAGATTTCGTATATTGTCTTCTCTTTGTAATTGCATATTAACAACAGCTTGCTTGACAAAAGAATTAATTTCTAATTAATTTATTTAAGAAAAAAGCATCGATATCTTTATAGCATAGAAATGAAATTTCTACTTTTTTTTGTATTCAAATCTAATTGTTTTAATGATAGAAATTAATCACCGAAAGATTTAACTGGTTTTAGAAGTTGATTTACTGGTGATTATTATTACTATTATTATTATTATCATCATATCCTAATATATGCTATGCATAACAAAAATAAATGTATGATTTGTAAATGTTCAAATGAAAATTAGATTTCATGATATAAAAACCTGAATTATAAGTAAATGTTATGTATTGTATTGTATTTCTTAACAAAGTATGGTAAACAATTTTCAAGATAATCTATAAGTTTATGTAGTTACTTAATTCAGTAAGATATTCGTGGAAAAAAATTACTCCCAAGAGACTCATCTATAATTTGAGCGTTATTTTTAAGCTTAACTCTTTTGGTTATGTAACATACGTCAACTTAATTTTGATAACTTATTATTTTAATATTTATGTTCATAGTCAGTTATCGAAAAGATATGTACATAGGAAACTCATCGTTTTATATCGTTGATGATATATGTTGACGATAAGCTTTTCTGTATACTTTCGTCTAACACTACTGAACATTTATCAAGTGAGAAATGACTTTTTTGGTAAGGTTTTATTGTTAGTTAACACGTTAATTTTACTGAAGTATAGTAAATTAACCAGAAATTGCATTTTCGACAAAGAAGGAATAACAATGAAACTCCTATGACAACACTTATTGACAGAAGTTTAAATGTTTGCAAAATACGTATTCCAGCAAGTAAAACAATTATAATTCTGTAGATTCCTTTGACTCTCTTTGACTATGGTGAGCTTGTTTTGACTAATGATTAATGCTTTTGTAAAAGTAGATTACATTAAAATTGAATATATAAATTGGGTCAAATTTCAAACTACCTGTTATTATGTTGCTAACAGAGATGAATATAATTTAATGAATTTAAACAGAATATGGTTACAATCATGCGACTGTAAACCCAAACTAGTAACGAGTGAATACAATATGTTGAAAAAATAAATAGCTCAACATAGTAGATAATCAGTTCACTCAATATATGGTCTCAACGTTAGTTATAAATGTAATCATTAAGATACGATCTGCTAAGTTGATAAGCAAAGTAGTATATTTCGACTACTTCTATGTGTAATACGGTACAAATCTCATGTAACAATGAATAATAAAGGCGAATTAATTCGTACTGAAAGAAAATTCTATGACGGAATTCAAGTAAATGAGTCTTTCAACATTGATGGGCTTAAAATCAAACCTTATTTTACTTTATATCGCTTTAAAAATGTTTTTCTAAGGGTAAAATCCATGTATTGTTATAGGATTAGGGATAGAAAATGCAAGAAAAATAATAACTAATTTGTTGAGTTTTCCAGTTTACTTTATTACTTCTCCGTATAAACTATCAAATTACCACTTTTAATTCATGCGACACAGTTATACCTGTATTTTATCAAAACAATCTCAACTCAATTTCAGTTTTCGATTCTCAAGATGAATATGTAAGAAAAAAATAACCTATCAATTGTGTGATAGCACACTATAAGCTAAAACTTTCACTGGAACAACATATAGAGAATTACTGGAATTCCTTGAATAATATAGCAGAAATAATGTCATTCAGTATAATTTTATTGATTAGTAATGCATAACTTGAATTGTTAGCTTTGGTCTTTAGTGTATCTTTTGTGATATAAAAATAACATGCATAAGTAAAGAAAAATCCATGAAATACCTATCCTACTTGATTATTTTGTCTTTTTTTACTGTCTTCTTTCATCGTTCGTCATGATGTGATGTTATTTTTTTTACTGATGTCCTCTAAAATGGAATTGTTTATTGTCTTGATTATAAAAAATTACCAGATATGTAAGTATGATGTTACATTTTATTTTACATATCGTAAACTACTAGAAAGAAAGAAAATTGCAAGTTGTAGATTTGTGACTAAACATTTCATAAATTATTCTCATAAAATGTGAAGCGATACACATATGTAAAGTTAATCATTGAAAAGATAATATTTCTTGACTAAACTTACAACATTTTTATGGTTTTTCATTGAAGCTTCCATTAAAACAATGTTCAATTCTGTATTATCGTATTTATCCAAAAGACGCTTTGAAAGATTTATTAATTTTTTCAATTCACTTAAACGATTAACTACACTAGATGACATTTTTCTCAACTGCAACAAAAGTTCATGAAAAAAAGGTGTATAATATATTAACTGTTCATCGTCTGGTTCATCAAGTAATCATTTAATAACTTACGCCTGCAAACCATCGTGGAGGAATCTAGTTCACCCACCAGCATTCCACATATTGAGTAGACAACTGTTTATAAATACCTGAACTATTTTCATGCTGGTTGTGATTGTTCTCTTAGTCTCAGCTCCGTACATCCGAACTGTCTTGACGTTCCTATTGAAGATTCAGAATTTTGTGTTGACATGCAGACAGTTGTTTTGAGTTCCATATGTTTGTCAGTTGCAGGAATATCACCCTTGATTCGCCAATCCTCGCTCTTACGTCTGCACCAGATCCGCCTTATTCATCGATGATACTGTCCAGATATGTGGAAGTTGCCACCTGTTCCGGAGTTTCTCTATCGAGTGTAAGTGTGGTGGTGTTCTCTGTGTTGTATTTGAGGATGTTACTTTTCCCTTATGTATGTTGACGCTTACTTCTCTAGAGGCTACTACTTCAGCAGATGTCTTGACCTGCATTTGTTGATGTGTATGAGGTAGACGAGCTAGGTCACCTACGAAGTCCAATTCGTCTAGTTGCATCCAAACTGTCCATTGTATTCCGTGCTTCTCCTCAGATGTGGAGTGGAGGTCTTCATAATCCAGTCAACCACCACCAGAAGAAGAAGAAGAAGAAGAAGAAGAAGAAAGGGAGGGAGGGAGTGAGCAGACCTGTCTGACACCGATCTTCATTTGGAATGTATCTGTCAGCTGTCCTCCATGCATAACTTTGCAGCGTAGTCTATCATATGAATTCCGTATGAGGTTGACGATTTCCTCAGGCACACCAACAGTATCTATGTATTTTCCATACAGTTCGCCTATCCACACTGTCAAACACTTTCTTGTAGTCAATCAAGTTGATGCACAGTGATGATTTTCATTCAATTGATTATTCAATGATGATCCGTAGTGCATAGTGTAATCGGATGTGAGTAAAATGCAATTTGAAACCAAATATATTTGAGAAATCATCGGTTGACACATCTGACTTTCTCCAAACATAATAATTTGCCGTCATTCAAGTTCAAAAGATAATTCAATCGAATTACCTAGAACTAATCATGTTTTTATTTACAGTCACGTAACATATAAATATTTGTTGTTCAAGCTGCCGGCTGTCGTGAAACGTCAGAGCCTTAGCTATGAATTTTTTGTAGATCGTCAGTCATATCTAGATGACTTCACACAAAGATATAAAACACTAATAGTACGATAAAAATAAAAAATAACATTTTATTAATCAAAATTGATCAATTAAAGCCTTATTCAGTATAATTACATAAGATGAACAACCCAAAAAGTTAAGTAATATTATGAATACTGTAGTAAAATGTTTTTTATTTATTTTGAAGTATAATTCAGTGATTTGGAATGAGTGATGTTTTTAAATGTTCCACAACTCAGAATTAAATAAAATAAAAGCATAATTGAAAATAGTTTCAAAAACAACAAATTAAACAAAACTGAACATCTGATATGATTAATGCTATGTTAATCAAAACTAAAACCCAGATACATATAGCTAGTAAGCTTTTGTATGGTATGTAACATAAATGCTTAATTTCACTGTTACGTACTATTTAACATACAATCAATTTGAATATAAATTTTAATGGAAAATATAATTTACTGAAGAAGAAACTAAGTAGAATTGTGAAGATAGTGATGTGCATAACTTACATATATATCATTCATATAATGAATTAACGTATCAAATGCAATTTCACAATTTATTATTAAATCGATAGGTAATTCATTTGATGAACAATTAGTTGTTGGTATATCAGAATGAAGTTTAATTGTGTTTCGTTGTAAAAATACTTTTTTCATAAAAGAGATAAAGTCTTTCTGTGCCAATATAATTCTCTATAAAATAAAAACAATAATTACGATAAGTTAATACATTGAAATGAGAAATTTCGAGGAAAAAATTGAAAGCTGAATTATAGGATTTCTAATTTTAAAGTTATTTGTTAATAAAAACAAATTTGATTGAAGTAGAGCATTTTATCTAATGGATATGAAAACGAAGCCCTTTATTGTTTAATGTTAGTTGATGAGGAATTATTGATAATAAAAAATGTATCGTGATTTTGGCAATAAGGAGGAAACATATCTTTCTCTAACGTATTCAGGTCAGTCAGTCAGCCACAACTTAGGACCAGGCACATATATGCATCGGTCCAAGTTGCCATACTTCATTAACACAACAAGATGGACACCGGATTCATAAAAGTAGTTAATTCGGATGTGGTAATATATAAAAGAAAGATTACAATAAGGATATAGTACAGGAGGAAACAATTAGTTAGTAGAAAGAATGATATGAAGCGATTTTAATCTCTTAGTCTAAGGGAAGACAGAGAGACGTATCCAGGTATATAATGCCCAATGTTTTTGAGTACTTCAAGTGTAATTTAGTCATCTGTAAAAATTAAAATAAGTATGCTGATGATTATATTTTAGTTCATAAATAGTACCCTGATTAACGAATTATAAGTTACTAGTCAAGTTATTTAGCGATTTCAATTATTATCAATTATTAACAAGATCTTATTAGGTAATTCACGATAAATGAAGCACTGGGTACATTGCTTGCTAGAAAATGAACATAGTTAGCCTTTATACTAAAATTGCTGGGTTAAAATAAACTCCAGTAGTCTATCTAATTAAACTATTTATTGTTAACTGATACATGCGATTTAGTACGTAGATTTCAAATCTGCGTATTTAAGCAGTGAGAAACTTTATCGTTTACTTGAACTTATTTAAAAGAGTAATCAAAGTTACTAAAATACAAGGAAAATAAAATGCCAAAAGTGGAAAATCGGAAAGACATTCATGTGATGGTGTAGAGATTCTAACTTATTCCCAAGGTAAATTTATACCAAGACAACATAAAATTTAAGCCTGTTATAATAACCCAACACTATGAAAATGCTTCATGCTGAATGAAAGACAGAATCCTTTCTTGGTCTAAAATCATATCTAAAGATTGTTTATGTTCATTGTAGTGCATTTTATATTTTAAAGTTATCGCGTGAAATTTTGATTTTCCTCAACGAACCTTTAAACTACGCAAGAAGATAGGATGATTATCCAACTTAGAACTTAACGAGTTCAACAAGTAGCTGTATTAAAATTCCTAATTTGCGATACTGCCTAGCGGTCATTTGTAGCTATACGTGCTAACAGCAAACTAAGCAAAATGTCATCATACAAAATACTACAAGACATGTGAAATTTAGTTATTACTATACTATTGTTGAAATACCTTTTATCATCACTAAAACAGAATTTAACGTAGAATTTTGTTTATTAACAAGCACATGAATTTATACTATATAACGATAACTCAATATGACATTAGTATATCTAGCGCTTTTTACCATGTCTGTTCATAATTTTGATAATTACAACTTGAGGACATTTGTTTATTTGTAACTATGTACACATCATGGTGTTTTAATCATATGTTTAATTGTTTCTTTTAATTGAGGAAAAGGGTAATTACTGAAAACATAAAATACGTAGGCTTCAAATGAAGGATAAAATAGAAAAATTGAGACTCTGTTGTTTTAAGGATTGTTTTATTTAGCCAAACGGAAGTATATTTTGTATCAATAACTGACATCAACTAGAAAACTAATAAACTGCTACTTTTCCAAGTTCAAGAAGCCACAGTACTGTATCTATAATTAAAACAGGCACATGGCAAGTATAAAAATTTTTAGACACAAATTCAGCATTCTGTGAATGCTTTCTTTAATCCCAGACGTTTTTTATAATCATGGAAAACTGACTTGCTCCTTACGTGATTGAATGTAAGGTCTTACCCGAGTTTTCTTACATCGAGACTCAACAGCACTCTGTAATAATGCACATGATTTCTCGATATGATTTATGGCTTCTCGTTCTGTTAGAAACTTTTGTTGAATCTGTCAACAAATGAAAATAACAGTAGAAAAAAAGTAACAGTGCAGCTGTCGATTAAAACAATTGTTGCCTAGGCAAGAACTTAACTATGGTTCAAGTTAAACATTACGTATTTTCGGTTTAGAGTCAAAAATATTTCATGCTAGTGTTTAAATACCTGGACAATAACCCATTTAAAAGGAATTTCTAGCTAGTTGCCAAATTTATGGTTTAGTTTAGCGTCGATTAAATATTAAATAATCTCTTGGGAATGAAAATTTTTATATTTGTTTGTTCACATAACGCTGGTGGCACTCTATCGATCACGTTGTACTGCGTCCGATAGAATATGTGAGTCACCATCCCACATATTACGTCATGGTTTTAAGTAGTTGAAGACAGTCTGAAAGAAATCCGAAACATAAGTTTCTTCTTAGTTTGTATTCACCCCCAGCATTTCTCTGTAATCGTTGACAAAGTGATGTTACCCTGTGGATTCGAACTTGCATCATTCAGGATCAAGTGTATTCCATAATATCTAAAAAGTTTAAGTAGATTTTCCGGACAATGCATTCACTGAAAACTCAGAACTCTAATTTTCTGTCTAGAGTAGTGGAAATTATTTATTCTCAAATATTATTAAGCTGTAACTACTTTAGAAATAAAGTTGAGGACAATTTAGTTATTAAGAATAACCATTTATAATACTATCAGGTAATACAGAGACAGGACCTAATCAACCATGAACAGTCATTGAACCATTTCCCTTCAAAGTAAAAACAAACTGCTTGATACGAGCAGCAATATTTCTTGATAAAACTGGTCAGTGCTGTATGTAAAACACTTCAAATTCAAGCAACAATGAAGACATTTTACAAGAGTTTACGGTTCTATTTTTCACGGGAACTAGTTATCTTAGATTGAATTTCCAAAACAAAACAGAAGTTTTATACAGCTGCAGATAGTGTAAAATCAACAAAATAAGGCTGTTAAAATTCTCAGTATCACTGATTGTTCTTGTATTGGTTAGAAAAACCCCTTAATTGCATTAGGTTTAGAAACAAAGAATTAGTATATATATATATATATATATATATATATATATATATATATATATATATATATATATATATATATATATATATATATATATATATATAGACTTGCACACAAAATCAATACTATTGGAGTTCTTTTCAAAATTTTCATCACCGAATCGAACTGAAGTTTGTCAACATTTTTAGGAATAAAAGAATGTTGTCACAACTTCTAAGTTGGTTGAAGGTTGGCTGATATGAAGCCGTTACGCGTTTATTGTTAGCAGTTTATAATAATCTGACTCCTATAGAGATGTTTAACTATCATACTTCACGTTGTATGCTAAATAACCAATATGAAAAAGTGGTTTTGAAATATATATATTATTGTTCACAGATTAATACTCATGTTACCCAGATGGATTTTCATTATCTTCACTACTTTTCGTTTGCTATGATGAAAGACAAACAAGTTACCTAACAGCTTACTTAACATAACAAACTGACTAGAGTTAGTTTTAATCCATAAAACGTTTAGACTATTTTGTGGCTACAGATATCCCAAGAAGAATAGAATGAAATTTAGGGACCTCCAACGGACTGTCTTCAAATATTCAATATTTTCCATTGAGGTACCGAATGACTTAACCAACCGGTTATGTTGCAGATTCGATTAATAGAATTCATTTGGTATTTTGGTCTTGATGTTAAAAACTGTTTGGCTATAAAGAAAACTACCACTTAAAGGCAATCTTACTTTACGAGTAGCTTCTGAGCCTGAGCTACGTGCAGCCTTTGCTATTATTCTTTTAGTGCTCTTGTCAACTAATTGAAATAGGGAATATTTTCGCGTTTCTTCAGAAACACTGGCACCTATAAGAGATAATGAAAATAAAAACAATAATGCTAATAAAATTCTTGTGTAAAATCTAATTTGTATTATCATGTATAATAATGGTCAGTTTATGATAAGTTTATTCACTTACAAATTAATCTGACACTCTATTTAAGTAAATACAAGATTGCTGGCATATACATCCAATAGCACAACTATTATAAGCCAACTGTTTACCAATAATTGATTCGTAAACACATAGGGGTAAACACTTTGTTGTTAATTTATCAAAGTGTAGAAGTTAGTTTTAGATGAATTATGACTTCTCAAGATGGATTACGTGTTGCAGAATTAAAACAGACTAGCACTTTAAGTTCAAAACTTTGTAAACGAGTAAAGCGTACTTAAAACCCGCCAACGTAATTGGTCTCGTGACAACCATCTACGTGTACATTTTTGAACGACTATAATCTATGTACTAGTTCCTTATGCATAATTTCATACAATATGACATTATAAGTTCTAAAGCTTTTCAGTTCCATCCCAAGATTTTATTAAACATTTAAATGTCATACCCTGCATAAATACAGTTATTTAGGACTTAGAGATAATCAACGGCATACAGATTGTCAAAATATTCACAATGTTCAATGATGATGCGTTTTGCATAATTACTTAGGGGAATTCTTATTACATTCATTGTATACCTTCATTATAATATGGGGTTTAAGATGGAACACTTGATATCATGCTATAACTTACTCACTGAATAACAACAGTTAGAATTTTTACAATACAATATGACTTTATTTCCAAAGCTAAAACTACGTTCAGCTGAATAATCAGTGGAGTTAAAAATTGAATAGTATATACGGACATCAAAATTATAATAGTTTAGTAAATGACAATTAGTGTTTGACCGCTTTGTTCCTCATGAATAAAATCTGATTTCTGTGTAATTTTTGACGAAAGTATCTCTTCGTCCAAATAATCCATGGGTCTGTAAGGATAAATAAAATTATTATACCCGAAATTATTGCTTGATAACGGTATATGAGGTAATTGCTAATACTAGATAAACACCAGCTTCCTTACGGTTTCAGATGAATTGAATGTGCAATATCTAAGTTTGTTAAAATTGTTAGAAAGTAGCTTTCCACTGAAATACTGAGTGGAAATTCAACCCTTCACTTCTTGAACTTCAGTCGATTTGAGTTATACTCCACTGGTAATCTGGTGTTATAAGTGGTCCTAATCTCCTTTTTAATATGGTTGCTTTGTTGCATAACAATTATCTGCCCGTGATATTTTCATTATATATTTGTATTTAACTACAAATATTTAAAATCAAGCTGTTTGACAGTGCATCGTGTAAAAAATTATTTAGATATACAATAATACTATAATTAAAAAATAGAAATGTAACTATGAGATACATGTAGAAGTTAGACAATTTAAATGAATACTTACAAATCTCTTTCCATCGTTTGATTTCATTCACTTCATAGGCTAATTGATCAAAGTTATTGAACATCTGAGTAGTTGCCAAACAATCTGGATGATTTATCGGTGTTACCTAAATATCAAACATAAAATAATTGTATATATTGTTCTTTGACTGATGTCGTGTTTATGATGACTACTTACTCACTGCATAAACATTTTCATACAGCCACATCATTACATAAAAATCATAGACTCATTACTGATTAGCTTCAAAATACTCGAACAAAGGTCCTGATACAGAACTGTGACATATAGAGCAGTTAGTTCTGTAGTAAAACTGTCATTTATAGTAGATGCTAGGTAAAAACTAACCTGTTCTACAAATAATGAATATTTAACATGATAAATATTGTGCTCGCTTACAATATATTTTAAACCTTAAATGTCGAATTCAATTACCGACAACAGGAGTTCAAGATATTGACGCTATATTATTGAGTAATCGCTAATTCCTAATACGTCTCGTTTATGTTTACATCATCAATCTATAATAGAATATTTCGTGAAAAAAAACAGAGCAGAGGCTAAGAATAACATTAATGAATAAAAGATACTTATAAAAAGCAAATGTCTTTGTATGGCCGAGCGAGGGGGGAGTCAGCTCTCTCTTCCAAATTGCTCTTACATGGCCACAGGTATACAGCCACTGCCTTCTCGAGACGGGGGTGTTGTTTACGAAATTGAGAGGACGAGAATCTTATATCCAGCACTTTGACTAGGTCGGTGGATATAAAAGATCCACCTAGATGAGTTGGAAAACCCTGATTTCAAACCTGTGGTGCACATGGGCTTCACAATCCTGAGGGACTAAAAGGTGTACAAACCCACTGTTGATTGCCGGTTAGTATGGGATTATATCTACTAACGCTACTCCACTGCCTCGTGGATTAGACCTCTAGGTGAAAGGCCCGGAGAGTTTATCTGTAGCTAAACGACCCGCTTCGGTTTGGGCGTCCGGGAGGTATCCTAGCCCCTACACAAATCGAATGATTTGTGTAGTGCATATATCTTTTGGGTCTTCTTGTACCAAAGTTTATGTCTTTAAATAATAAATAAATAAACATTAAAAAAGTCTCTTTAAAATATAAAAATAATTAGTCGCTAGAAATGAAAGTGGTAAATTAGCTGACCCTTAATATACACTGTTTTTTTCTAGTCTGTTTAATAAGACTATTAAGTGGTTTTTTAAGCTTCAGTCAAACGACATGAACGAGAATCAATTAATGGATGTAGTAGATTTCTTATCTAAATATTTTTTGTATACGTACTCACATCTTTCAATAATTCAAACAGTTGTTTTAACTTAACTAATCTTTGAACAGGTTTAATTAATTCATCATTTAAAGTCAATATATTTGGACGTTCGCTTTGTAAATTTTTGAAACCAAGCACGGAAAATGTTTGAATTTCTGTATTCTGAAAAGAAAAATATATTAATTTCAATACAAAGACAAAGTAATTGAAGTAATTTTACATCATTTCATAGGTATGTCACAGTCTTCTCCCAAGAAGAAACAGAAATATAAGTGTAACTTGGAATGTTGTTGAACTTCGTTTAGTAGATTATGTTCAATTGTTATAGTATTGTTTGGTTGTTCATGAAACTTTCCAAAATTTCTATATCAATCTCTGTGCTACCGATGCACTTACACTATGGTAACTATTTATTTTTTATGATGATTGATAAACAATGGATATTACTAAGTGTGCTACATTTTAGTGGGTTATTATCATCTATTGATTTGTAAGGACGTTAAATATTATGTAGCATAATACAAGTTTCTAAAACGCGGTTGATTTATAACCTACATGTATGGCATTAGATAGTCCACAATTTATATTGTCAATCTTTTACCAAAAATACGACTAATAGTATAAACCAATTTTCTCATCTAAACTTAAACACAAAATTGAATTATTACACAAAACATGCTGAAGAATTGTGTTTTTGATTTATTTAAGAGACTTAGAAAGAGAACAGATGTTATTACTCAATATATCAATCAATGAATAACAGTAATTAACTAACCTTTGTGGAAGCATCTACTGAAAAATTTAAGATATACGTCTTCAATGCTTCATTTATAGATAATCTGAACGAATCTATACATGTTGCTATTAAAATAAGGCAGAAGTTGTATCCACAGCCGCATACAAAAAAAATCATGTATATTAGTTAAGTATTTTCAGCAACATATATATATATATATATATATATATATATATATATATATATATCACATTATCTTAAGACTATGTATAAAAACATCATCTTATAATAAGTTTAGCTAGTAGATAAATACTACATATATAATCGCAATCAATACTGGTTATACTAAAATCGCTAACTCAAGTAATTGGAACATCATATTTCTGAATCTACAAAACATTCTCACCACCTTCACGTTAATTTTCTTTCTTCCAAAAAACAGTTTTTAACATTAATTTATTCACTAAAGTCCTAGTCTTTGTGCTTATCGTATAAATAAGTATTATATGACCTTTTACTGGTATTATGACCATATGTATACAAATTAATACCGAGCCAGATACGTTTAGCAAGATTTCTGGATTTGAATGAAAGCTGTAAACCTAGGCATTATTCTCCTTAAACAGTTTAAACCATTTTCGCTGAAATAATTTTCGGCTTTAGTGATAAAAAAATGACAAGATCAAAATGCTTTCATCATAACATTGGCTCACAGAAATGAAGTCATATGTAATTAACGTAATCATTGTAAGGACAATCTTAATGTGGCAATGTCTAAAGTATATATATTTTATTGAAAAAGTTGTATTACAAATTCAGCTGCTTTAAATATATGACATTTTCAAATAGGGTAATTCCAAATAAGATATATAAGAATACATGTGCTAACTAACATCTTACCGATACAAGCATTACCAAGTTGGTCATCACTATATGTAGATATTTCTTTTTGTAACTCCGTTGAAATATCATCAGAAACACGTACCAATTGATCCAAATTTCCCAACAATGAATATCGATTGGATTCAGTAACCTGATTTTGTATACACATACAATGGAGAGATAAATTAGTATTTTGCTCGGTGAAAATTTGTTGAATCGACGCTAAAGTAACGATGGAGGGAATCGATTTTTTTATTTAGTAAACGAGGACTTATTCCAAATAGACGTTTATGTTTATATATATGCTTACGGATTTTTTAACGTAGAAACCAGTAAGTGTTTATTAGATCAACAACTTGTAAAGAATTAGGCTTAATCCATCTGTAATCGGAGAGCTTCGATATGATAGATAACTGCATGGAGTTTCCACTATTGCATGTGTTCTCATCTCAACTGTATTACTCACGACGGTTCAAATATTTTTGAGAAGGCCATCAATCTGATAATTCCTAATTTTCATTCACCTCAACGTCAAAATACAAATAAGCGGTATGTTTCGCATGATTACCAGCCTTAGTCCACTAATGAAATTTAAATCGGATAATGTTACTGTGATTCAGGGTACTGTAAAGTAAGAGACTGAACAATAATATGAACACAAACATGTTGGTCTAACTACTGTGATAAAAACATTTAATAAATCTATATTTTCTATGGAATTATTAATTCCATTTATGGGTACGATATAGGTTGGCAAATAAACTATCATTTCGTCATAAGCTCATCAACTTAAGCACTTATGTGATAAGTTCATTCAAAAGTCAGTAAGCTTGATTTATCTCTCGACTATGAGGATTCTTTTTTCTATGGAATATTGGGGTTTTAAACTTTTCGAGATTATTGTTAATTAATACAACACATTTTTATTTCTTAGATTCTCTAAAATGGATCTAAATAATTTCTGTATACTTACATGATTTTCTGACGTTTCTGATATTTAGACAACATCGTAGATAATCTATACTTAGCAGGTTAGTGATATTTTACTAAATTATCGTTTATACTGCAGAAATACGTAAAACTACATAACATTTCTTTCAAAATCAAAATAGTTATGTCAATATTAGTGATAACCGTATTGTTTTCAAAATAATGTGAAAAGAGATTACGAAATCAATTGTAAAGGTATTTTGTATAATTTTTGTAACTATTTCTAAATCTGATGTCAAGAACACTGAAATAAAATCAAACGATTTTAAATGTGAATTAATGAATATTCATTATGCATTGTCATCTCTGGTGACGTTTAAAATTGTAATTTTTTGAAAAAGTAATAAAAAGATTGTGAATAAAACACGGGTAAAATAAGCTGTTTATTACCGTTAAACTAACAGAATCAAATGCAGTCAAGACATTTTTCATATCTGATACAAAGTCTACTTGTGTTTTCACTAATTCTTTTACTACATGTTTTCTTTGATTAAATGATGCTGATGATGATGTTGAAGCTGGCACAGATCCTGATATCGATACTGATGAACTTGAAGAAGCAGATGAACGAGGTTTTCTGGATTTACTAGAAACATCGTCTCCATTATTTGAAGTCTCGTCAGACAAAATGAATCCATAACTCAAATTGCAGCTTCTCATTGGTCTGTAATTAACAGTATTGTCGGAAAGTTTGGGCACAACTTTTCGACTGTCTATTGTAATTACTGGTAGAGTCAAGCAAAGTGAATGCGTTTTCTTTGACAGGTCTATAAAACAGTTGAATACAACTATCTTTTAACTGGAAACTAAAATGTCACAGTAATTAAAAATAAAAATTAAAACCTCTAACTTGGAACAAATATGCTTAACGCATAGTCAATCTGTGTAAAATTTTCATGTGAGCAAAATTTAATTCATATTCTAGTTATGTGACATTTCAACAGCGGTATATATGTGATTGTTTAATGAAGTTTTATTAGAAAACATGGTTATTTCTGATCAAACACTTCTATTTTATAAAACAATAATATTATTACCTAATAAACTGGTTAAATATTTATTTCAGTATTATGAAACGTTAACATTAATACACACCCAACTGTGAGATCAACAGACCAGATTCCCTAAGGATCAGTAGTGCATCGACAAAGAATTGACACTATGAATCACTGTTTAGCAATTAAGTGAATAGAAATCATCACTATACTTCACTTTGACTATAAGAAAGATGTTACGTGACTGTAAATAAAAACATGATTAGTTCTAGGTAATTCGATTGAATTATCTTTTGAACTTGAATGACGGCAAATTATTATGTTTGGAGAAAGTCAGATGTGTCAACCGATGATTTCTCAAATATATTTGGTTTCAAATTGCATTTTACTCACATCCGATTACACTATGCACCACGGATCATCATTGAATAATCAATTGAATGAAAATCATCACTGTGCATCAACTTGATTGACTACAAGAAAGTGTTTGACAGTGTGGATAGGCGAACTGTATGGAAAATACATAGATACTGTTGGTGTGCCTGAGGAAATCGTCAACCTCATTCGGAATTCATATGACAGACTACGCTGCAAAGTTATGCATGGAGGACAGCTGACAGATACATTCCAAATGAAGATCGGTGTCAGACAGGGCTGCTCACTCCCTCCCTCCCTCCCTTTCTTCTTCTTCTTCTTCTTCTTCTTCTTCTTCTTCTGGTGGTGGTTGACTGGATTATGAAGACCTCCACTCCACATCTGAGGAGAAGCACGGAATACAATGGACAGTTTGGATGCAACTAGACGATTTGGACTTCGTAGGTGACCTAGCTCGTCTACCTCATACACATCAACAAATGCAGGTCAAGACATCTGCTGAAGTAGTAGCCTCTAGAGAAGTAAGCATCAACATACATAAGGGAAAAGTAACATCCTCAAATACAACACAGAGAACACCACCACACTTACACTCGATAGAGAAACTCTGGAACAGGTGGCAACTTCCACATATCTGGACAGCATCATCGATGAATAAGGCGGATCTGGTGCAGACGTAAGAGCGAGGATTGGCGAATCAAGGGTGATATTCCTGCAACTGACAAACACATGGAACTCAAAACAACTGTCTGCATGTCAACACAAAATTCTGAATCTTCAATAGGAACGTCAAGACAGTTCGAATGTACGGAGCTGAGACTAAGAGAACAATCACAACCAGCATGAAAATAGTTCAGGTATTTATAGACTTTTGTCTACTCAAAATACCGTTGGTTGGATACCATCAGCAACAATCTACTGTGTGAGAGAACGCACTAACTTCCATCTGAAGAGGAACTTGGGAAAACGCGTTGGAAGTGTATAAGACATTCACTGAGGAGATCGTCAGACTGTATCATGAGGTGAGCGCTAAATTGGAATCTGAAAAAAAATGGAAACTGAAAGGAGGAAGACTGAGAAACACCTTGTTTCGAGAATCGGAAGCAGACATTAAAAGAATGAACGGCGACTGGGAGAGCTACAAAGGATGAGTGAGGACAGTGTTGGCTATGGGATGCTGGTGGACAACCTAAGTTCCTCCAAAATGTTTAACAGACGTAAGTAATTAAGTAACATTAAAGAATAATAATTCATCATTTCAGTTGCCCGACAGACAAAATAGAAATAACGCATTCTAGTAAATAGATTTATATTACTTAAAAAAGTACAAGTACATAATGTGACATCACGTAGTGTGTAGCATCTCTGAGTAGCCAACAATCTCTTGTTGTTTAGTTTTATTGTCGGAATGAACAATGTCATTATGCCTTAAGTCCCCGTTTTAGAACGCATGACTTAATATCAAAGTATAGTTTGTTCGATATACATTTATGAAATTCACTGACAATAAGCTGTGCACGCAGCTTTTATTGATCAATGGCAGTCAGTATATGATATGTATATACCGTATGATATGTACAGTACAAATGAGAAATTAAACGTGATATTTTGTCTAAACAGCATTTTTGTGGAAAAATAGAGGTTTCAGACATCGAGATTCTATAGTACTCTAAAATCAAACATATTTGCTACGCTCAGCTTTGATCATCATCATCATCATCAGATATCAAGATTCACGTTATATTGTTGTTAAGATTTTCAAGTTTATTAATAATGATGTATATAAGGCTAAAATCTTCAGTCTCTGTTTGCATGGAATTTCTCTAAATGGATACCACGATATTCCCTGTAAGTATATTGTTTACCATCCCCAAAGCATTTTATGTGAGTAGCTGTGCACTCAGTTTTCAGCGGCAACAAAATTACTCAGTGAGATGCAAATACGTCCCGTTGATTAGTCATAATTAAGATAAGACTATTTTAGGGACAAATCGGTAAGCTACACTCTTCATGGGTTTATTAGACAACAAAGATGGTAAATAATTAACCAATTCATTCGGGAGAGAATGCGATGCGAATTGTCCATTCACTTCACTTTAAGATTTAACAGAACCAAGTTGTGGGATGAAAAACTACACGTTATGTTGTGTACGAAATAACTGTAATAGTATTTTAAGCAGAGATGGATTGTGACCAGGAATGAAGTTCAGTTCGGAGTGACCCTACTGAGGATAATCAAAATGTTGTGAAATACTTTATTATTGTTATTTAAAAGAATACTTCCTCGTTTTTTTTTTTTTTGGGAGTAAATTATTATGAGATTATACAAATACCAAGCTTAAAAAATAAAATAATTATTTGATATATAATCCCGGATAACTGCTAAATACCTTATTATTTTTTGCAACATTTCCAAATGTTTCTGCAAAAGGCTTTGTGTCCAGGTTATGGGGTGTTATGCAAATGGTGGTGAAATTAGTTAACTTAGAGATTCCATTAACACTTAGTGTATCGTTTAAAGATAACACTAACAAAAATCATGAAATAAGGGTTTTATAAAATATCAAACGTACAATAAATTAGATTACTTTATCCTCATAACTTTAAAGTCAAAATTTCAATGTCTTCAATATGTAAAACTTAAAATGACTCATTGTTATACTTCAGTTTACTTTATCTTTTTTGGCTTTTAGTGCGATATATACATAGTGAAATCTTTCATTTATGTTATCATTATGTTTAACAAAAACCCATAGAATAATCGTAAACACTAGAAAGTTTAATACATTAACTTCTTCACATATAAATGAATCGTCTCATTTTTACATTGTGGACCGAAGGACAACTCTGTTAGCTTTGATGAACCAAAATGACCGATTGGAAAATTTCTGTTTTCTCTATGGGTGCACTAAACTTTAGCTTGAGTTTGAGGAAGTACAATGGAATTTCCTACTAGTGATAGTTAAATGTTCTACATATGCTAATGTAATAATAAATATCCAACTGGATTTGTATTCAAAAGAAATCGTATGCTTAGTAAGATAATGTACATCAAATAACCCTTCATGACTTGTTGATAAAAGATATTCTGTTACATCATTGTATGTCCTGATTACTTTAGAAGCTTTTATGATATATTATCTGGATGTATTTGCGTGTCCTTTTTTAATGAATGATGAGCTTTAATTTTTGAAGTACTTTGAATAAGGCAACAACATCAGTAAGATCTCATGAGTCTTTAGTCATTCTTTTTATAAATTCCATCCAACTTGAATTCATAGCTTTTCTTATCCAAGCACAACAGTTTGGACGCGATAAACTGTTTACTATGTAATCGATGACAAAATCATTCATCGCTTCCGCTACTTTTAGTTAATGAATAACATTTTCGAGTTTTTATGTTTAGTTCCCTAGATATTACTACACCCATCATCTTTGTAGTTTTGTATGCGGAAAATGTTTGATAAGGGTTTAATGCTATATCGGTGAAATCGAAATAAACTTAACATATAAGAATTATTGTTCTTCCGATAAGACGGAATCCGAGAAGTCTAATTTAAGAGGATATCTTTGTTTTCAGTAAAAAAAGCACATCTCAGATGAATGGGACAAAAAAAGCTAAACCTTGAACCTTGTTTTTTAAATTCCATAATTTACAAAACGAAAACGAAAAAACAAAAATAGCGATTCGTGAATAAATTTTAGACAGTAATAATTTACATTGTAAAGAAGACTAAAGCATGAGAAATCCGTTAAAAAGGACATAAACGCTGAAGGTTTTCTTTAGCAAAGTCTGAAACAAATAATCACTTATATGTCTTCAGAAGTTTGCATACGCAACGATTCTATTTCGTCATAAACACAACAATTGGAAACGTAAATAGAATATATTTGTAATATCCCAATGAGTAGAAGAATTAGGTTTTCTGACGTTTCATGACTCAGTGTAAGTCATTACTTTAGAGAATAAATAACCAAACCAAAACTATTCCAAGTTTAAATAGTACAAAGGAACAACGCAAGAATATTATGTACAATCAATCAAAAACAGGTCTGAACAAGTCAATCTACCCAATGCTTAATTTTTTACTCGAAATTATCAAGTCAAACCTTGGTATTGATACCTACAATCAAAATCGTATTGTATTAACTTACTGATTTCATGCTGAATTGGTTCCAGTGAAATTTGATTATCTCTCTAAAACACATAAAAGACAGATAAGAATAAATTTTTGGCGTTTTTAGACTAGGATTCGAAGACAAATTTGTTGTCTAATCATAACAGTTTATCAAACTAAAGATCTATGCTAAAATTCGCTTTTGAACAAAAAATTTACTGTTCGGATGTATTTCATGCTACAACCTAAAAAATGAAAAAGTAAAAGTAATACATCTATACACTGTTTGATTTTCCTGAAAAATCAGCATAGAGTGGGAAACGTCAGTGTAGTACGTGTTGACGCACGTAGTTAACATAGTTTTCTAACTTCAGGTAATATGCTCGAATAAAACACAATGTGAAAACGGAGATTTTTTCAATGGTTATTCGATAATAACACCTTATGGTACCATATATAGCTGGAAGATACTTTCTGAGTAACTATATCTAGTTAGTTCAGAGCATATCTTCAATAATCCACATTTAAAATTACAATAAGTTTATGCTTAAACCATAATAATCTGAATACTCTATACATTCTCACTACGATTTACAAAGAAAAGTAAAGCATAACTTATTCTATCAGATATCACTAAAATTACTTACTGTTTACTGATGGGAAATGTACTACTAGTGTTACATGTTTCCTACTTAAGAATATATATTTTATTATTTGATATCCATGTAGTAGAAAGTAGGTTGTGTGTTGTCTTTTTACTGGTTGGTTATTGTTTTAGAATGTCTGTAAATGTGTTGGTTAGTAAATACATGTCTATGCATTTTGTTGCACCTACTGAATAATATTTCTATTATAATTTATTTTTATACTTAATTAGTTGTGGGACCTTTATTCAAATGGTATACAATGGATCAGACCTGGAGAGTTTGCTTTCAGAATAAAAATATCCAACACGTAATCTACGCTAAAAGTTGTTTAACTAGCTGACATATTAATAACGAGACTGACAATAATAAAAAAACACCTATTATGGTATTCATTACCACCTTAATTTGCAAAAATCACACGATGATATAGGTATTAAAATTATATTTAGGAAGTCTTCTATTAAGATTTTTTCCGTCACATTTACAGGAAACATTACTAAATCTGAAAGCAAGTCGAAGAGTTATATTTTAAAAATTGAATAGATAATATTATGATAATTTTGTTACTACAAAAATCTACTGAGAATTAATACATTATTTTCACCGAGTGCAGTAAATAATACTGGATGTATTCTAGCTCTCAGTAGAACTCAGGGTACACATTTCATCTTATTTAGGACTTCTCAGCTAAATGAACATGCATCCTAGTGTTGATATTCATACTTGTACTTGAACAAATTTTCTTCCATTATCCACATAGCTATGAGTTGAGATAGATACTAACTTGTTGAACTAGTGTTAGCATTATTATTATCATTAAGGTTGAATTATCCTGGTGTTAATATTAAGGACTGGGCCTTGTTCCGACTTTTCGCATATGTGAATTCTTGGTGGATTTCTTCTTTATTCCACTTGAGTTTAAGTTTCAGTAAAGATGAAGTGTGGCTAGCAGTGGCATAATGGACACGCGTATTCGCTCCTCGTTAGTGCTTAATATCAATAATTTAGAAACTCATACCTTAATGTATATATGACTTAGTATTTGTTGAACAAGCTAGTGACCATCTCAACTCAGTAGCTCAGTGGATAAGGCGTTGGTTGGAAGGCACTTGTTCGAGCTTTAATATGAGTGTCAACACTATAATGCATATGCATCTAGCTGATAGGTCCTAAGTAGAAAAAAATGAGCATCGAATACTTCAGTTCCATTCATTATCTAAGTCCCTTTTAGCTTAGGGGTTGTATTTATGAGAACTTACAATCGTTCTTGTAATTATATAACTGTTTTCAACTACTTTAAAAACCTATAATGGCGCTCACACTTGTTTTTTTTCCAATAATCTGACGCAGAATCGATAAACTTTGAAACAATTATTTACACTTTTGAATATGGATTAATGGTAATGAGTTAATTAAACCTCATGGAACTTTCTAGAGAGCTCTGAAAATATATTTTAGTATGCAGCGAAAAGTATTTTTTTAACTGCTAAATGAGAAGTAAATACAGACTATTTACAGTGTATTCATTTTATTTATATCTGATATCATAAATAATCTGTTCTCAGATGCACAATTTATCACTATTTTGTCATTACAAAACTCGGTAATACTACTTATAAAGGTTTGGAAGTATCATATATAAATCCTCGGTTAGTACAATAAAGTCAATGTACAGAATAAGATGGTGATAGACAAATATGTTTGGTAATATTTGCTCATTTTCATCACATATCAGAGTTTATAAATTATTTCTTTACTTTTTGATTTTGTTAGTACTTATGGTGAGAAAAACACCGGTTTTTATGCAGAATATTTTATAATTAACAGTTAGATTCATATTAACAAGAATTTTATGTTACACTTCGGTAATTATCAGTTATACGTAATATGTCAAATTTAAGCTGATATGAGGTTCCAATAATTACACTGTATTACTGTAAACTACTTAGTTAGTAATGTTTGTGTTTTGGGGCATTTTTTACCATTGATTACATCTTAATCTTTTAACACTTAAATTAATCTTCCAGTAGGTCAAAATAAACCAGTCAATCATATGTTTTGATTGCTTATGAAAAAGATATAAAGCAAGAGAGTGGTGTAACGTTGAAAAACTCATTTGTTTGGTGTTATTATTGTTTTTTTGTCTTGACTTGAAAACACATTTAACTCAGGATGCAAGCGAATGATACTAACTTTTCAAGACAGACAAATAAATTATAATAATAAATATCTACCAACTGTCAATGTGATAAAAATACTTTCTACGACGGGCGATTCCTCCTAGTGTAGGAGTAGACTGGAAGAAATATAAGACCATCGAAACCAAATCATGGGATCAGTCCATCAAGTCCTTGAACTGAGCCACCTTAATAGGTGTAGACTACCTGGTTAAGCTCCACGTGACTATCGTACCCAATAGTTAGAGACTTTGAATGATATTACTCAAAATCGTTTGCAATGGTGCAGGTACATCCGTTCTTCGTCTTCCCTCAACGTTTGAGATTCTAAATTCCTCACAATTTTTTTCGTATGTCAATAACTTATATTTTCCTCTTCAGTCGTATCTTCTATGATTAATCTTCCCCATTATTACTGATGCTATTACTACCTCTGTTATTCCTGGATTCGGCCTTATAACGTCATCTCTATGTGTTAATGGGATATGGTAACTTCAACCGATGTACACACCTACAGATTCTATGTCGTGACTGACAGACTAAGTACAAATGTTAACGAAAAATGTCGTTGATTGGTTATATCAAAAATCTAAAAATTCTTTTTTGTTTAACAGTCAGTAAGATGATGTTACAAGGCCTAGTTATTGAAAAGTAATTAAATGGCCTGATGCACAGCTTAGAACTTTTTATATTTAGTTTAATGGAAAATAAAAGTAACACACCTTTTTATCAGACGTCGCTTGATATCCAAAGCTCACTGCTTATTTTATTCAGCTGTTTTGAACGTACTCTCATAATGCTTAATTTATCAGTAAATGTTAAGTATTTACGAATAAACTGTTTAGCAGTTTGTTCATTAACATAGTATGTACTTCCATTAAAATAACTATATCAACCAACAGATATCTTTAAAGCCTTCTGTAAGGGTCACTGAATCTTTGATATAGTGCTATATTGCAGTTTGAAGCTCCTACATCAGACTCCTATGTTGTATTTCTTGTTTAAATTCGATACAGAAAAGACCAAAGATTATGGTAAACACTTGTACACTAACCAGTGATGTTATTTTATATAGTTTATTAAATTCATTCAGTAATTATTATTCTTTTAGCCATGATATAATGCATAACTTTAAAACAGTTTTAATGTGATAAAAATAAACAAGTTTCTGATGTTAACACTGTACATTTACATTTTACATTACAATCAGTAGATAATCTGATTGGTTGGTGAGACATGACAGCTCACATGAGTGATGCTAAAAATAAGCCTTCAATAAACTGCTTTCATATTATGCGTGTTATGTCTATCCTATGGATTAACTATTGACACGCTATAAACAAAGAATTGATAACTCAAAAAATTTATAACCAAGGTTTGCATTAAAAAATCGATATGTTTAACTACCTTTATACTGTTATCTCATGGTAAGAAGAATAGTAAAGTACAAATATATTTGTTGCTGTATAAAATAGTCGGTTCACAATAACTCACTCGAAATGATAAACGTCTCTGTCGTTCTTCAACTGGGACAACTACAATTTAATAAATAAAAAGATCAAAAAAGGAAACAATTTGGAAAAGATGGTCTAAATAATAAAAGCAGTGATTAAAATATATTACACCGGGTACATTAATTTATAGGTGTTCTCAAAATATTCATACAGTTGATATAAGTGATCTTTTTGATCACTATACTTTATTCCAATTAAAAAATGACAGAATAATAATAAAGCTCAATAACCTACATATTTTCCAAGATATAGCAATATAGTCTGTAACTAAAGACAAGTGTTCATATCAAAGTTATTTTCCGATACTAAGTTCAAACTAAAAAATCCTTCAGTTTTTCAAAAACAGCACATGTTCAGATGAAAGCTTGCTGGTAATATGGTTAAATTTATTATTACAGTAATAATTGTGCAAGAGTAAATACAGAAAAATGTATATGCTTATTTGTCATAAAATCTCGTCATGAAGTTTGCTTAAGTGATTCATAAAAATCACCAGGAAGTTCTTACGTCTGTAGTTGTGCTAGTTGGCACGCACTAGCTAAACGTTTACACTTACGTCATTAAATTTTACAGTAGGAAACGTTACTGCCGAACGAAATAAAGTTTTTCTCATGGTAATATTCATCATATAATGAATTTCTGAAGATATAAGTAAGAAACAAGACCAACGCTACATATTATGATTAGCCACACTTTTTGATTTACGATCAATCAAATATTAAATTCAATTTGTATTAATGACTATTATTTTTTAAGTTTGAACACAAGGAATTGACTCCATATTGATTTGGTTTTGTTAAAAAGAAAACCGTTTTAACTAGTTAACAATCACATGAACACACCTCTTATAATTTTGAAATTTATATAACTACTTAATTTTAATGATCATCTGTGAAAAGTAATTTTTATTATGATTGAAATAATGTGACTTTTAATTAGGTATAGATTCTTTTAGCTATTTGAGAGTAATCTCACGTGTTATAGTTAATTATTCCTTCAGTAAACTGTCTTTTTGACTCTTTTTCTTTATCACAGTCAGCTGTTTATCAGACAATCTGTCGATGAAACACTCAGTACTATCCTTAATTTATGGATATATAAATAAAAATTATTCTTTACTTCGTAGGTCAAAATAAACCTATCTAGAAGGTGAAAACAAAGCAGATTTCATGTACCGAATAAAAGTTATTCAGATTAAGCACATACCTATAGTTCTGTCTTCGGAAGATATCATGTAACTATTTGGATCTATGATGTCATTATTGGTAATCAAGAAAACAAGAAAATTTTAGAAATTTCTAGACCAATCATAAATTTTTAGTTTTTCATTTTAAACTCCCTCAAAGAAAATCCTTAAAGACCTAGAATATGTTGTCCTTTATTTAACTTTATCTTTTCTTTGTTCCTTACATTACTGCCCACTTATTATTGTGTCCTATCTCTTCAAAATTGTTTCCTAATTAACAACACAGAAATAATGTAAAATAATAATAATTATTATTACTAATGGCTTTATTCAGTATTATATTTTGGTACAATATAGAATTCTCAGCACAGGGTATTTCACCAAGTTACTTACGCAAAAAAAATCAGTAACAGATACAAAAAAAAATGAAAAAAGGTTTTTTAAAAAAAACCCGAAAAACTGTACAACTTTTCAAATTAGAGACATGTTAAGAATGCAGGTTATTGACTAGGTTAACTCTAACAACTTGTTCGTCACAGAGTATATTTGCTAGGTAAGGTATTATAGAACTTTTATACTTTTGCTTGCGTGCATGGATTTTAATGTAATTACGTCTCGTTCTACCAGAAGATATACAAGGAGAAAGATAAGAGTGAAGGGGATGGCTAGTATCTGATAAAATAACACCTGCCAGGAGTTTGCATGATTTTAAATGTCTATCCACAATCATATTAATTATGACCTCGAAAGATTCACCACATATCTTGCTAACTGCCTTCAGCACTCTTCGCAATACAGCAAAGTCTTTCCTCAAAAGCCCGGGAAAGGATAATAGAGAACAGTAAACAATAATAGGTAATATGCAAGAATTGACAAATTGTAAGAGTAAATGTCGACTAATCCCAAGAGCATGCAATCTCTTTATGTAGTAGGTCAGACGGAAAACCTTCTTTGATAACAATGAAACGTAGGAAGACCAAGAGAGATCAGAGGAAAAGGTCAGAGGTTAATTGGTGTTAGAATCAAGGAAACGATTCAGGATGGGTGGTGCAGTAGTTGAGTGGAGTTCATAAATTGTGTGGTAATTTTAGAGGTAGTGAAGGAATCATGGAATTAAACACTGATAAGAGAGGTCACGTAATAACTGAATAGAGTTTGAAAAGTTAACATAATTTAAGAGGGTAAGTGAGCGGAAATGTGTGAATGAAAAGTTGGTTTAAGAATTCGGTAATGGGGAAGGAATACAACACCAAATAAATATTTTAAACTAAATAAATAAATAAACTAATACAAAATAACCAAAAAAAATAAAAATGAAACAAAAGTGGATTACCAGGGTAATAATAAGTTTACTACTGTCTCTTTTTTAATACATAAATCCGGTTAAAGTTTTTTTATCGCGATCACTTCAGCAAAACGGAGAGCAGTTGTATTTCTTTGTCTGCCGATAATTTTAAAAGCGTGCGGAATGTCGATGGTATGCCCGGTGTCAAGTAAATGCCGTGCTATCGCACTGTTGAGAACCCTAGTCCCTCACAGCCTCAAGTTTCTTGGAGCATACTGTTTTAATCAAAATCTCATTTTTTATTAATACTCTAGCATGCAATACAGAAGTTTCAGATATCAATTAATACTAAATGTTTCCAGTTGTTTAATATCTATTAAGTGAAACAAAGTGTATATACTATCAATAGTATTGATTAGCAATGTAAAGCATGCTATTTTTTTCTTACTTGTGATATTATTCAAACTCCGACGTTGTTGTTTGAACGATGGGTTATGATCTCTGTGAAGATCATAGATAATTGACACGGTTTTCTGTCCACTGTAACGTCTCATCACGACGGGCTCTTTATCTGAACATTTTATGGCTAGTTGCAGGTTTTTGAATAAAAAAAACAATTTACTTTCATTTTTGTTTGTTACATGTAACATTTGACTGAGCTATTTGTGTCACCTATAATAGTTCAAAAAGTAACAAGCAAATGGTCAAGAAATGTCCACTGCTTAGATAAATATAGAAAGATTCAAGGACCACTCATAAAGCTACCGAGAAACTATACAATTTGAAATAATGGAAATCTAATAACGTGCTCAACACAAGACTTGCAACCGTTTGGATTATTCCCTCTTGAGGTTATCATTTGTCAATGAGTAGGAGACCCAAAACAGAATGAATAGTAATTCAATAATGTCATGTTTCCCTTGGTTTCCAAAACGATGTTAACGTGAAATTTATCTTCGACAAACTCATAAAAAAAATTAATAGCAGAATGAAAAAACAACTCGGTTGATAATAACCTTGAGGTTCGTTTGTAATTTTTAATAAACTCATAGATACACTACTTATATTGCTATCTGATTCATACTATTGGTTGCAGTTATGACATTTTTAGGCACTAAAAATGCCATGAGCTATACAACAAATATTTATAAGTGCTTGCTCTTATTTTTAAAAATAACAAATAATATGAAAACTTTACACTTATTTTTAAAACCAACTTTATATGCTGTACACAAATAAACGGAAATGCTCTCATTCCTTTAACTAATATTATTCCGTATCCTTTGTCCTTTCACTCATTAAGAGATGGAAGAGAATAACAACCAACACATCAGAAAACCATAGTAGATAACTTTTATCTGCTATTTTTACAGAGCTCTTCCTTAGACTGTGAAAATAACTTTACTTTGTCTCACTAGTTTTGTAATTACTTTTCGAAAATGCAAATATGGCTATTCTTGTAACAGTGACACTGGGTTTAAATAAGTAGTACACAGCAGTTGACTGTGATTTAAAAACACTGTATGATACTAAAGATTTTGGATAGCAATGTGAGCTTTTATCGTGAGAATATTTAAAAACATTTCACATCATATTCACTTTGGAATAAAGTAGTTGGTTACGTTTGTAGTATAAAATAAAAACGTCCCTAGACTTAAATAAGGCTACATTAAAGCATATTTAGTTTGAATGATCTATGAAGAGAAATGAAACAATAATGTAATGATAGAGAGCTCCAGGTTAATATCTTCAAAGCACAATAATCTGGTAATCTGTTAAAGTTGCTTAAACAACAGACGGAACCTTATGTCATAACTTTAAAACAACTGAACAGTGTTGCATTTAAAGGTTTATTTAAGTTTGTAATTTTTTCTAAGAGAAATGTTTGTTATATCACACAAAAATGCAATATCGATTTTAAATACTACTTACTGTTCGGGAGTAAGGTGAAAAAAATTTCGAAACTTAATTTTAGCAAAAAGCTAGGTTGTTTCATTTATGATAAGAAATAGGTTAATTGATCTAGTAATAAGTATGATAGTAAACATTTAGAATATACACAAAACAAATAAACACACTAACTTATACTTGGAATTCGTTATAACATTGTGTTAATTTATATTACGTCTTTGGCATTACATTATGAATCACTAATATTTATGAGTATCACTAAAGACAGAATAGCATTCACTAAAACGATAGTTGAACTTATTGGTAAAATTAGTTTTGATAACTATAACTAGAGCAATACATTAATGAAAAATAAAGTATTCACATCTTACTTTTTAAAACCCAAGTTTGTGGTCTTCAAAGTGATAGACGACTTGCGTGTAAGAAGTTAGGGAGAAATATATAAGAGCTTAGATAAACATTCCACCTCATTCTAATTCTGTCAACTGTCCCACCTACTAGCGAATAAAAAGATAAATCAAAGCAAGTGTGAACCGAGAAGAAACACTAGATTTCTAGTAGATGAACCTAAATATAAAGAAATAATTAGTGGTAAAAGATATTGTGATTCTTTATTAAACCAATCAAAATAGTTAAACTTATCAATTTTTATAGGTGTCATCACCAAGGTTTGATTTGATAATTTCGAATAAATTGAGCATTGGGTTCATTGTTATAAATAAAAATAATATATTTGTAATATCCCAATGAGTAGAAAATTGGATTTTCTGACGTTTCGTGACTTAGTGTAAGTCACTTCTTCAGAGAATAAATAACCAAATTAAAATTAATCCAAGTTTAAATAGTACAACGGAACAATGCATTGTTTTTTATTTATTATCAATTTTTCCTTAAGTGTTAGATAAAATGTATACTCATCAATGCATCGAACCGTTTAAAACAATTTAGTTTTGTTCATGAATTATAAGAAAACGTAAAATCTAAATCTGACGTCTTCAATGATCTTGCAGTTTGATATGTGGCAAAACCATTCTAATAAATTTCGATTAAACTACATCATTTAACTAACCGATATTTTGTTGATCACTGGATAGACTATAGATCTAGTGATTAAAACAACCTATTAAAAAGCAAGTCAGCTTCTTAGAACTTTTGCTATTCACCATTCTGTTCAGGTTAATGCACTATCAATTTTTTCACAGTTTCTATCTTTATTTTTAGCGAGATTCTGTCTCTTGAAAGTAAAATCCTGGGTAACAAACAAGGATTATCTTTACTATTAAGAACAATACAGCAATAAACTCTATCACTACTCTTATATTTTTCTGTTTCTGGTGAATATATATCTCGATCACTGACCATAAACGTCACCTACTGATGCCTTCCAGATATGATATGTACAGTACAAATGAGAAATTAAATGTGATATTTTGTTTTAACAGCATTTTTGTGGAAAAATAGAGGTGTCAGACATCGACATTCTATAGTACTCTAAAATCAAACATATTTGCTACGCTCAGCTACCCGTTTATTCTATGCTGTTTGTAGCTTTGATCATCATCATCATCAGATATCAAGATTCACGTTATATTGTTGTTAAGATTTTCAAGTTTATTAATAATGATGTATATAAGGCTAAAATCTTCAGTCTCTGTTTGCATGGTATTTCTCTAAATGGATACCACGATATTCCCTGTAAGTATATTGTTTACCATCCCCAAAGCATTTTAAATGAGTAGCTGTGCACTCAGTTTTCAGCGGCAACAAAATTACTCAGTGAGATGCAAATACGTTCCGTTGATTAGTCCTAATTAAGATAAGACTATTTTGGGGACAAATCGGTAAGCTACACTCTTCATGGGTTTATCAGACAACAAAGATGGTAAATAATTAATCAGTTCATTCGGGAGAGAATGCGATGCGAATTGTCCATTCACTTCACTTTAAGATTTAACAGAACCAAGTTGTGGGATGAAAAACTACACGTTATGTTGTGTACAAAATAGCTGTAATAGTATTTTAAACAGAGATGGATTGTGATCAGAAACGAATTCCTGGACGTATGTTTTCTGTTATTTAGGACTCTTCAACAAGATGTACCTGGATTTTGCTGCTTGTTACAATCCATATCTGCCTAGAAATACTTGTAGCTTAATGTCAGTATCGAGGTAATCGACACATGATGCAAATTGTCGAAAGAGACCGATCAATTGCAGCCCTCAACATCAACAATACGTATAAATTTGATGAGTATTTGTTTGAGTTTCTGAATGTTCTCTTTATAACAAACATGATGGTTTCCACGATCTTTAATTATGTATGTTTCCATTTATTTAAAGGTCATTTATAATTCCCTTGAACGTGAGATGATCAATCCTTACTGTGAAAAAGTTGGGCTACTAACTACTAATTAGTAAGGATTCAGTTCATCGAAAAAAAGCAATTCGAATCATGTCAAACATTTTTAATCCAAACATTTTTAAATAACAGTTAGCGAAAAAAATGTATCAACACTTCATAAAAACAGTATTATCACGAATACAAAACAAGCTCCTTTCATAATTTTTAATTCTTCATACCATGAGCTTCTTGCTTGTCTGTATACTAAAAATCAGGTCAACTTAAGTTTTGTGATATTAAAAAAACGTTCCTGGGCCTGAAAGTAAGATTCCTATCTCTAAATATTTTTCTAGACTGGTAGTAGTTATGGGAACTTGCCAAATGGTAATCTTACCTTTTTTATCATGATTTTACTCGTACAAAAGCGAATTTATCATCTACTGAGTAAAATTTTGGTATGGAGCGGATATATCATTCACAACTGGAGCTACACGTAGTTATTATTAGTTTTATTAAAAAGCATAAAAGTGTTATGTAGATTTTTGGTTGAATACGTCTGAGATCAGTTTTTAATACTCTTGTTTCTTAAAATCAACGTTCACGATTTTATTAGTTACTTAAAAAGATGATACACTTTCAACATAATATGAAAACGTACGTTCTAAAATCCAGCACTGATATTACAAAGACAATCAACGTATAAATATACATAGGGAAAAGACTGATAGCTTGATTCATTGATTTCCGAGAATTAACCCGTGCCATATTTATCTATACTATAGTGTTAATCAACTTCTGCCAACGCTAAGTCACTCAAGCCAGTGGTCACGTTACACATTGATCAACGGAAGTCACGTAAATAAATGAAAGATTGGTTACTACTCAGTTATTAATTACTTGCAAATATTACAGTCCTACAGGAAGTTATTTGAGCCCCGAAAACTACAATAGTAACATAATAAACCTTGAAGCTGGATGGTACGGATTTAAATCTCATAACAACTACCGATTCCCTAAAGGATATGTTCTGGTGATTAATCTGCGCAAGAACGAAATCCGGGTTGAGCAGGTTTACCGGCCAACGCTCTGTAAGAATTTAACATCATAACAAACCTATAATTATCTTGAAATCTTCATGATTTTTAAGTCGCAAAACAATCTCAGCTACTAAATCAATTCTAAGTACAAGAGAAGGACTTTATATTTTTTACGTAATACGCAAAACTGCCTTCGAATAAAACGATATGGTGAAGAAGTGTACAAAAATAAAACTCAAACACTCCAAAATAATTTTCACAATATTGCAAATCTATTTTCTCATGAAACATGATGTATTCACGTAATCTTCGAGTTTTCAATTAATATTAATATCACTGCTTAAAATGTCTTTGTTGATTCATATGATAGTGAATTTAGCAACAACTTCAAGTTCGTTCTCATAATCTGCACACAGTAATGCAAAATGTCTACATTTGGTAAAATTATATATGATTTGCGCTAAATAACCTAGGTAAAGTACAATGACTGTTCTTACTCGTCTTACAAACCTAGAGAAAGACGAATAAAAACATTCAATTCATGTTTTGAACACTTGATATTAATTAATGTATTTGAAGCACATGTGAAAAAGCTCTTATTTGTTTTATTGATTTAAAAATAAAAATACCAATTTTATCAGTTCTTAAATACTGATCATGAAGTATCATTCTTTATAATATTTTGAATAAATCAGCTGTTCTTCTCTATTGATGGAGTTGATTATAATATAACTTAAGTCAATAGTATACTTTAAAATATCTTTCCTTTGTTCAATAAAAGGATTACACAAAAGGTCACTTTTTTGAACATTTACGATTCATATGTATTATATTGAAAAGAATTTACATATTCATCCATCAAACTTCGTAAACTCTAAATTATTTTTCTTGTATGTGTTTGTCATCAAATCGCATACTCTTAAAGTACTAAATAAAGTATGATTCAAAGTTTATGTGATTTCTGACGTTTCTTCATTTTCACACTGAAAGCTACTTTTTAAAATGAAACGTGTAGTTACCTGAACAACCATAATTTGGACGCAAACCACTAACAATTTGAGCTTACAAAATCATGTACTAATTACGTCTCTGATCTTATGAATATAACCGGTTTCTATCTATATATCTGAACGTTTTGCCACAAAGCCTACCACTCGATAAATTTGGCTTTTTTATTTGACCAGCTGAAATACAACGTTAAATTCTTGCCACTACTAATATCACTAAATATAAATTCGACAAACGGTTGTTGAAAGATGGCGTTGGAGCGTATAACCTGTGAAGGAAGTATCAACAAACTATTTTCAAGCTTTTGCAAAGAAAATTAGTTTCAAACGTAAGTAAATGCACACCATGCTGAGGAGCAGTCGTAGTTAAAAGAAATTTTAGATATCTAGAAACTTGCGGGAGAAAACACACCACAGTCTTCAAAACTGACAAACAAATAACATGTTGTTTGGAAAATTTTACTTTTGATATTACTTGCCATTGTAGAACTTATCAACACAACGGATAGGCGGCAATTTTAAGGATCAAATTATTCGACACTAACAACATTGTTTTAAATAATCTACTTTAAAGCTGGCGAAAGTAACTATTTCATCAACATATTATTCCAATCATTTGTTCTCAAAAGCTACAGATTTCGGTGAAGTGTTAAACTTATTGTTAAATCAAAAACATCAGATAATTCATCGCTAGTCCGGGTTTCATACAAATATTCAAACATTTTTTATAATGGCATCATAACACTTTTCTTAAAATCGAATTACACTTGCATATCAAAACTACGACTGATACCTTCTGCATGCCCAGATTAATTAGAAAAATGTGTAGTCAGGATAGTAAACAGTTTACTACCAGCCCATTTCATGTGAATTAATCATACAGCTAGTACTAGTCAATGATTTATCGGATTATTAGTTTTCTGCCAAAGTCTGTCCTAATAAACGTCCTTCAAACGGCAAAATCAATAGTCATTCGGGTTGATAAACCACATCTACATGCACGGGAGAGGTGCCTGTAATCCCTTTTATTACCCTAGCAAACCTCAATGTTGATAACTTAATAGTGACTTCAACTATGGAACGACCCAAATTAACTCATGTAAATACAACTCTTCCCATTCAAATATCAGCGTGTTTGTTTTTGTTCATGTATCTTATTATTGTTATAGGTTTAACGTCGATATCAGACTACTAAACACATGAATAATTTACTAAGCACTCACGTCGCTTCTATATGTCCTATTGGATCCATATGACTTCATACACCATATAGTGCTACACCAAACACTTGATCGAATTCTCAAGAAAACTATTATTTCCCTTACCTTATTTGATTCATATATATTGTGATCATTAATCTTACATTTTCATCCAACGTACAAGCCCATCCAAATTAAAACTGAATGTAACCCATCGCAGCATCAAAACTTAGTCTAATTTCACAGGCCTATATTACATACTTTAGTTTTAAATGACGTATTTTTTCCTAAACCTGGCTACTTTTCGGATTAATAATTTAAATATATGGTTGGATAATCTTAACTAAATGTTCTCCGGAGAATTCCACGTCGTGCATTATTTGCCGACCCTGGGACTGGTTGGAGGAAGCGGAGAGGTGGTCAGTGTATGACATGGTGTCGTGGTATGAAAGAAAGCTGCGAAGGGCTGACTTGTGTTGACCCTTCACGACTCCCTGGCTGGGGTCCGAGAGATGGTGCAACACAGTGACTAGAGACGTTATCAGATATGGCTCAGAATAGAAGCCAGTGGTGATCCTGCTGTAACCTTCTTTTACCTTCTTCATAAAAAGTGGCTGTGTCTCCCTTACCTAAAAGATTTCTTCCGATTGTACCTTTGCGTTCCCTGATTACTAGCACATTACCTTACACCAATCTCTTTGTTATTGTTCTCTCTTTTTTTGCACTCCTTAGCTTTTTTTTCCTTTCTATTCCTCTTCAAATTTTTATTGTTTTGTGTGGCACATATATTGGCGCTCCCTTGTACCAATATTCATGTGTCCAAATGAAATAAAATAATAAAACTAAATTTACTGAAAAAAATACTTTACGTTCATTTATATCTGTACAAATTAACACTTTTAGGTCAAACAGTTCATTGGCCTTAAGGTTTGGCTTGATGATAATTAAATAAATTTGGATTTAACCATATGTCGAGCAACACTCTAAAGTGAGGTATAACATAACCGAAATATTATACTGTGTAACTCAGCCACTCTAATCATTATAATTTAAAAACCTCACTGTATTACCCACTATTTTATACTCTAAATACTATACCGAACATTTGAACTGATCATTGACCAATTTTACTACATCTGAACAATTTTTTGAGTTTTTCTGTGGTTAAATACTTCGATCTTCAGCTGTATTTTACTTTCAACAGTTTTTTCTTACTAAACTGAACCAAAATTAGTCATTGTGCAAATCATTTATAAACTGAATAATACAAAAAACATAGGCATTATGCTGTCAACTGAGATCATAATGAATTAGAAAACCCTGTCTAATGGGACCACATTTGATACTCTTTTTTATGCAATACGTGGGCAGCACATGTATATTGGTTGTTTCTTTGCTTAAAGAGTAGACGCTCATCTAAGTTCAGGTAAAGACTCAAGAACCGTCCTTGTGTTTACTTAAATTCAATCACAAACGCATTTAAGTGTCCATAGTGTTTAAAATAGTCAAACATATCTGACATGAAAACTCGATACGTATGGTAAGTAACAATAAATAAGATAAGCTCTGGCAATCCGAACAAAATAACAATTAGAAGATACAAGTAAAACAACACTAAGTGAATTTAAACTTCGCCCCACTGCACAGACAGGTTCAGTAGCTAAGTGAATAAAGCGATGGCATTTGAAGCCAATGGTGCTGGGTTCGAGTCCCGGAGTGAACATCAACTCTGTGATGCAGATACATCCGGTTAACGAGTCCTAAATATGATGAAACGCGCTTCCTGGGTTTCATAGCTAGCCGCTATCCATCTTTACGTAGAAAATATAGTTCAGTTAACATCTGCCGGGTAATATCAAGAAAGGTTTTAAAACCAGGTTAAAGCAACTTTGAAAAACTGTAAAAATGATACATTTAATAACATTTTGACATCAAGAAGTACAAAAATTCCGAGCATCTTAATCTTGGGTCTACCCATCAATATATATATATATATATATATATATATATATATATATATATATCCATTAAAACATTGAGATTTCCATTTGCATTTTATGTCATCGAAGTGCACCATCGTTATTTAGGCGATATGCTTCACAGAAACAAATATGAACAAACTTAACTTGAAAGATGAACACCAGAGATTTTTCGCGATAGAAGTCAAGCTTTTCAAATCACTACAACCATCTTTATCGAATATTTAGTCTTCATTTATAAAGCGATGAACTATTTATAACATTCGAAGTGTTATAAAACATTTTTTTGTTTTAAAAACTCTTTTTTGATCAAAAACATAAATCCGCTACTTTGTGCCAATAATATTAAAAAAACTCCACTTCAAACAACAATCGGCTAACTATTTTAACGACTCAACATACTCAGACAAGATCATGAATATAACAAAGACTAATAAATAACCTTGGTAGACTAATAATTTGCTGTTGAAGTTCATAACAGTTACACTGGAAAACGAAAGCAAAGAAGAAGTTTAAAGAGGGCTAAACTTTAATTCTCGAGATTTTTCAGTAATAGGCATTTAATAAACAAAATTAAAATCAGTGAAAACCTCAAATGTAAATGTAAACCGATTCATATAATTTGACTCATGGACTAACCTCAACAAAATGTTGTACCAACATGATAAATGTAATTAAATAGACTCACATATTTGTGTATTTGTCATTGTCGACCAGAATAATGACATGTTAACCTAGAAACATGAAGGCCCTTACTTCAACCTACAATACTACGACGTAGGCCGTACCAATTTTTAAAAAGATAATTAGCAGAGAAAGTTTTAGATAAAATTCAATAGACTATGTTATTAAGTGTTATTGTTGTCTGCACTTAAGATAATACTCTGATGACAGAGGTCTTGAGCCTAATATCAGTTGATTTGTGATATTCTACGGATCTCCAAACTTTCTTTAAATTAACCTAATAAAAAAAAGCAAAACTCTTTAGTGATGGTTTAAAGATCTGACTTTGCCACGAAAGACCTTGGTAACTTTGAAACCCCGTATGTTCATATGGTTTATAACTCTGTTGTGTCTTCTGATCAGGTCGAGATATATCGATATATCTGATGCAATTTTCCAAAAAATAAAAAATGGGTAGACATATTGATTCATGCGGTAACTATGGTCTATTGGAAAAAATTCTTTAATATAGCGATATCTGGTTCAACTTTTTAATGTGTGCACAACCAGTATTCTGACAAACAATGAAAACAATAACCGATGCAAAAGCGTCAAATACCAGCTTGAAAGAGAATGTAATGATAACAAGATAAGAACTTTCAAAGACTTATGTTGAGTACTTTGTCGAAAAGCAATATTTGATCATTTTTATTTAGTCATCTCATTATTGAAGTGTTAGGAAATCCAAACTGAACGGTAGTTCATGAATTTGTTCTATCTGTATAAGGGCTTTCCAGACATAACTTTACTTCCGTCTTCTGATTTGATTGAGTTGGTATCCTACAATTATGAAGGTGTTTCATATAAATGCGCTGTCAAACTCCGAATTCCCATGGCACCTTTATTACCATTACCTCTTACATCACGAAGGACAGCCGTGCCTTGACATGTAAAGAAGGAGGACTGAAGAGGTCAGTGGACAAAAAGTAATGTAAAGAAATCTTCTACTACCGAGGTTCTTTTCAGTCAAAGAAAAGCCTCAAACGACTAAGAATGACATAACCGATTTATGTCATACACTTACGCGTTATCTTAATTTTCGTAACGACCGTAAACGATCACACACCCTACGTAGAAGCACTTCACGTAAGCGATCTGTCTCTCGGCCACGCAAGACGGATAACCCCGACTGGTATTGGTATCATAACCAGTATAGAAAGTCTTCCAGAAATTGCGGGAAACCCTGCAATTTTCCCAACTCAAAATCGACCGACTCGAAAAACAACTCGGGAAACTTCTAAGCCGGCACGCGTTAACGGCAACCGTGGCCGGCGAACATAGCCGTCTGTTGTACTTCAAAGATGTGACAACGAGAGTTCGCTACCTCGTCGACACTGGCGCAGAAGTTGGCGTTCTTCTAGCGAATTACAACGACCGACTTCACGAATCGACTTTAAGTTTACAGGCGGCAAACGGAAAACTTATCGCTACGTATCGAAAAAGGTACGTTTATCTGAACGTGAGCTTACGCGAACCAATTCACTGGATCTTCGTTGTTGCATATGTTTCTATGCCAATCATTGGTATGAACCTTCTACAATAACATAATCTGATCATCGTTACGCGCAAACGGAAGCTAGTAGACGGAAACACTAAATTATCCGTTTGCGTAACTTCTTTTTATGGTTGCAGATTATCCCCAGTCACAATCAAGCGTACGATAGACCCACCTTATCAACCACTACTCGATAAATATCCTGAGATCCATCAAACGCAACCGAAACTACCGTGTGTAACCAGCAACGTTACACACCACATCACGACTACAGGACCACCTGTATTCTCTAAAGCAAGATGACTAGCCCCTGAAAAGCTAAGGTTGACGAAAAACGAGTTCGACCACATGATAGACTTAGGAATCGTACGGCCGTCAAATAGCCCATGGTCATCTCCGTTGCAAAAGGTCCCTAAAAAGGACAGCAATGATTGGCGTCCAACTGGTGACTATCGGCGATTGAATGCAAAAACCATTCCTGATCGTTACCCGTTGCCTTATATTCACGAGTTGACAGCGACCTTGAAAGGTACAACTGTCTTTTCCAAAATAGACTTGGTTAAAGCGTATAACCAAATTCCCATGGCCACTGACGACATACCGAAAATCGCCATATGTACTACTTTCGGACTCAATGAATGTTCACGAATGCCTTTCGGTCTAAAAAACGCTGCTCAAACATTACAACGATTCATAGACGACGTTTTTCGAGGTCTCATGCGTATACATGCGTATGATGATGACTGCCTAATCACAAGTTCGGACAGAAAATGACCTCTCAAAGCATCTGGATCTCGTTTTCGAACGACTACAGAAACATGGCAATACAGTAAACGTTCAGAAATGCCAAATCGTGACCATCTTATCAGAATCCTAATAGACACTCGATAATGAGGCACAAGCAGATATTATCTACATTGATATCAGTAAGGCTTTCGAATACATTTCTCACAATGGGCCCTTACTAAAGCGAAATACGTTGTAGAATTATGGTCTACTATCATATTAGTACTGCCCTAATAATAGACCTAATCCTAAAGCTGTAGACTGTTATGATAAAACTGCCTGATCTGTGAGATCTTACGTGGAAGTCACATCATCGTCTACACTAATTCATTGCGTCGTAACAATCACCAATACATGATGGAGAACAAGCTTAGGCTAGAGATAGAACAATATATTTAATATGGATAAAAGATATAAGGTAACATTCAACAGGTACCACGCCTGCAAGGCCGAGCCATTCCATCCTGTCAATTTTAACAGATTGAATTCTTTCTTCCCGCCTTCTCCATCGTTGGGCTTTTCTCTGCGTCAAGTGTTGAATATGTATATTCCCAGCAGTCTCGTGTTCAGCTTTGAGGATTGTGTGGTTGGAGTCTGAAAACACTACGGACGCATACAACTCAGCAATCGGAGAAGTCTTACAACAATAGGTTAACAACTCCTGGTAACCTTTGGCGTATTTCTCTAGACGGTTGCTAGACACCGAATTGAGGTACAGCACTTTCGGTAGGGAACTCCTAGCTATGTATTGTGTTGTATGACATTTTCAACACTACATCGAAAGTCGTGAATTTACCCTTTTCACTAACCATAAACCGCTCACCATCTCTCTAAGCTTTCCTTCAGACAAGTACTCTCCTCGTGAGTCTCGACAACTGGACTACATTTCACAGTTTACTTCAGATGTCCAATACATCTCTGGAGCAAACAATGTAGTTGCAGACGCGTTGTCTCGAATAACTTCCTTGAGCAGTTTCCAAGTAATCGACCTTCTTAAACTCGCCCAGCTTCGAGAGGAAGACACTGATCATCAGCACGAGTTATCGTCTACAACCCTCAAACTACGCATCAAACAGATAGGAACAGGTAAGGAAACCATACTTTGTGACACATCTACAGGTAGGGATCGCCCAATCGTTCCGAAACATTACCGACACATCGTCTTCAATACGTTACACAAACGTTCTCATCCAGGTGTTCGGGCAACCATCAAGCTTATAGCAGAACGGTTTTGCTGGCCTGGTACGAATAAAGATGTGAGGGAGTGGGTACGCTCCTGTGTAAGCTGCCAGAAATCTAAGGTTATTGGACACAACAAATGTTCCTTAGGTTCAATGAAAACTCCCAATGCTCGACTCGACCATGTTCATCTGGATTTGGCAGGACCTTTACCAAATTTAAAGGGATACTCTTATCTCTTAACCGGCGTAGACCGTTTCACTCGATGACTAGAAGCAGTACCTATCAAGGACATCACTGCTAGAAAAGTGGCCCGCACCTTCGTCGAACGATGAGTAACAAACTTCGGTTGTCCTTCAACCATCACTATAGACCGCGGACGTCAGTTTGAGTCTGAACTTTTCCGTCGTCTAACCACACTATTAGGAAGCCCTCGCTTCCTAACGACCGCCTACCAGCCACAAGCAAATGGGTTGGTAGAACGCTTTCATTGACAACTAGAAGCTTCACCATCAGCTGCAGACGTTTCACAGTGGACTGACACTCTTCCACTCGTCTTACTAGGTATTCGCAATGCAGTGAAAGCTGACATTGGATACACTGCAGCTCAACCTGTTTACGGAACAACACTTCGACTTCCAGGAGAATTCGTGGATCCTTCATCCTCTTCAATGAACATGGATCTAACCTTCTACATGAACAGGCTTACAAACGCAATCCGTTCAGTAAAATCTGCTTCCACTCGACCACAATCAACTGATGTTTTTGTTCAACTTGACTTACGACATAGTACACACGTCTTCGTTTGTCCAAACTTTCATCGACGACCATTCGAATAAGCATACGAAGGACCCTTCAGAGTTTTTTTAACGTGAATTCAAGTACTTTATACTCGATAAGAACGGGACAAACGATAGCATCGGCATCGATCGCCTCAAAGCAGCGTATTTAGAAATAGAACCTATTCACGACGGTTTTCCTTCGGTACAATCGCACGACGCGACTCCTACACTTGTGATACCTCAACCGACAGCCAAGAAGCACGTCGATACTTCGACAGTATTTGGATATAAACTTGAAGCGACGCGTTCTGGAAGAAGAGCAAGATTTCTAGAACATTTAAACGCTATCGCACGTAATGCATCAGTTAACCTTTTGCCTTTTCTTGATTTTCAATGACATTTTATATTATATAAAAATGTCAATTTTATATGCTTATATTCATATATATTTATTGTTTTGTTAATATATGTGTATTAAAAATTTAAAAATACCATTTCGTAATAGTCGCTTTTACGCTATCGCATGAACATGAGTTTCCAGGACGCATAGAAAAGACGATAAAAAGTATGATGAGGTTTATGAGGAACCATATATATATATATATATATATATATATATATATATATATATATATATATATATATATATATATAACCAAGTTTAACATGCTTATATTTATATATTTACTACAAAGTTATTTCGCTAATATATGTACATTATTAACTTCGTAAAGAAATAAAAAACGAAAAAACATTCTGTGAAAATTGTTTTTCACGCTGTTACACGTGCATAAGTTTATTTCCCTCTTTTCGCCAGCTTTGTGTCTTTACGCGCATACAAGTGTGATTCAACATGCACTTACATACCTTTTTTTCCTTTCTAGGCGGCTGAAAATAGCGAACAAAACCGACGAATTTAACGATGAACCAAAATTTTCATTGTACCTTTTTTCTCTATTACCATATTGTACTTCATGATCCCCTATGGTAAAGAAAGACGACCATACGCTGTTAAATCTGTCAAGCTATCAGAAGAGTGTTTACCGACGACGAACCCTTTGGGTTTAAACTTCTGACTATCCGCGTCTTAAAGTCACCACTACCTCACTGGGGGGAGTGCAGTGATCTGTGGCGGTAAATAAATCCCCAAAATAAACAGCTTTGTAAGTATTACACACTGGATGATGATCACATTAATTTTAGTGGATTCATCTATCTGAAGGCGTTCGGTCATGCATCCGCACCAGATCACGAATGAGGA